TACCCCTGCCTTAAATGAACATGTAAAATCAATTTGCATAAATTAAATGTAATCACAATTGTATACTCTGATGCACTCAAACCATTGTCAGTAAAAATCAAGCTGGTTTGCAAGATCAAATTTAAACAGAAATGTCTCTTGGATGACTTTAAAGACAATGAGTCAGTAAAGACACTGTACTACTCAGTGACTCATGATAAAAATGGATTGAGTATGTCAAAGGAAATCAATCAGCTTTGACCATTTTCCACTGGGTAGAGACATTTAAACAACAGGATGAGATGTTTCTGGTGGAGCTACATCACTTGAACAGTATTTGGGTGAAATCCTCTCTTATATTAGTCTCTTCTTACCTCTTGGGCATGGATGCTGATAAACACTGCTCAGGCAGATGGACAAAGACAAAAGCATGTCAGGCAGCGGTACGAGGAAGCACAGAGGAGAGAAAAAACACTGTAAGGACACTCAAACAAAATCTGTGCATCAGCCTGTCTCTATTTAAACATATTAGGAAGAAAGCAAATCAAACATGTCACCAAGGGAAAACTTGCATCACAATCTCAAGGCTTACTGAAGAAATCTGCTGTATTTGTCAGATGTTCAGTCAGGAATCAGTTTATCCTTTGAGATTGTCAATTTTAAGTTTTAAATCACACAGATTACGTGTTCATAAGTAGAAGAGAAAAAAGACTGAAACTGTACCGTTCACTCCCAGAAGAAGCAGAGCCAGCAGGAAACGCTTCGCTGAGAGAGCCATCTTCGAACCTGCTCCAAACCAGACAAGAACGACTGCAGAATGAGCAACCAAGCCAGCAGTGATGGAGAGGCTGGATTACAATAATCCACAGGACACTAATGGCCTTACCTAATGCCGTCCTCATCTGACAAAGCCCCTCCTACAGCTGTTCACCCCCCACCATCAACGACCACCAACACACATGATGGATTTACTGCTCAAAATCTCTGCACAGTCACAGGGACAATCAGCGATGTGACAAATATTTGGCTCGTGTAAGTGTGCGTGTGTGTGTGAGAGAGAGAGAGAGAGGGTGCTGGAGGGTGGTGATGGCCTCTGCTGGGCCTTCTGATCCATATGATCCACCAGAAGGTCTTCTTTTAGATGATTTCTTTGTTCCTCTTGTATATTTGCTCCATTTCTTTTATGGATGATCGTGTTGCATTTTCTATATAACCAAAGAAAAAAATCCTACTCCTTTTTTACATATACGTATAAGTTAGGCATAACATTCATCACACATTGGTCGAGAAACATTTCTGCGTCATAATTCATAAGGAAGGAAGGAAGGAAGGAAGAACTTTGCTGGAAGGAAGGAACAAACGAACGAAGGAACAAACGAAGGAACGAAAATAGGAGGGAATGAAGGTATTAGCTTGGGTTCTAACAAAGAAACATTTTTTTCTGGAAGGAAGATAGGAAAGAAGGAAGGAAGGAAGGACATTGCTGGAAGGAAAGAAGGAAGGAAGGAAGAAAGGAAGGTATTTGGGTTCTAACAAAGAAACATTTCTTCTGGAAGGAAGGAAGGAAGGACATTTCTTTAATTGGGAAATAAACTATAGATATTATAGGAAAGGCTTTACTTCGTTTTTTTTTACAGTCTATTAACAAGTGAATGATGGTTGAAACAAAACAAGTGTTTCCTTTCTGTCTTTCTTTTAATTTATTTTCAGGCTTTTCACACCTCTATTGTAGAGATAGGAAAGTGAGTAGAGTTGGAAGTCAGGGAGAAAAAGACATATGGAAAGGGAGTCACAGGTTGGATTTGAACCTGGGTTGCCAACTTGGAGGACTCGACCTCTGTACATGTGGTGCGCACACTAACCACTACACTACCAGCACTCCTTTCTGTGAATCTGTTGAATGTGAAGTAAACTGAAGATTTACAGATATGAACGAGTTGTAATCCTCAAATAGTGTCAACTCTGGTGAAAACTAGGAAAGATTAAAGAGAAAAGCAGGTACTTTCTTCATGTTTAAAAAAATAAATAAAACATTTATGAGCTTTAAAATAGTTCAGTCCATTCAAAATGTGAATTGAAATAGATCTGGGTGCCATCCGCTGTGATGTTTAACACAAACATGTCAAGTCCCTGCTTCTGTTTGACATTTGTCTGAAGTACAAACTCTACAGACCAAAGATGTCTGAACGCACATGCTGAGGGTTTCAAAGCCATGCTGACAGGTGACAGTAATTAGGCCTAATTAAGCAAAGCTGTTTTCATTTGTGCTCATTAAAACATCAAATCCACTCCTCTCACACTCGTTTCTGTTACGCTCTTATTCCTGGAAGCCACTGAAGAAGCTGCAGTCAAATTTATCGACTGATTTCTATTCAAGAGCAGATTTCAAAACCCAAAACTGAGCCTATTCAAAAATGAAGGCCCCTGTCCGAGCAGCATGCAGGACTGAATCACACACGAAGAAAAGGACTCGGGCTCACTCCACCCTCATCTATAGAGCTCATAAAGAGGTTTGAACAAAACAGTATAATATGGGTTTTAATCAATTTTACCTGAAAGTCTTCCTCTCAAAGGTGTTCTATCATTTAAAGTAACTCCTTTAAAGATCTCTGCTCCTCACGTTTCATCTCTCTTACAGGCCGATCCTGCTGGGATGAGGAATCCAGACTTCCTGGTCAGTCGGCTCAGTTTTCCCAAACCGGTCCTGCTCGGTCTGGTGAGCTCGGAGGCTTCCAGACTATCAAAAACCAACAGACTGAAAGTCATCACTGTGCAGGAGATCAGTGCTGCTGTGACACTCGTACGGCAGAGGATTCGTACGAGAGATGCTGCATGAAGAGTTGACCAATAGTTTTATTATCTTAATCATTAAAGAGTCTTTTAAATTTTAAGCTGTTTCATTTTTTTTTGTAAAATACAAATTTAGGATAGTGATGCCATATCAGTGGGATAAAGTTCAACCATTGCAGACTTGTGTGGAAAATTTTAAACGTCAGTGTGTTCAACAAATACAAGTGGTGTGACTTGCATTTTGAAATTTTCGATGTGGCTCAGGTTGTGTTTCAGCTTTCTGACAAACTCTTCTGCACTTTGAAGAGTGAGTGTGATTAGCAGCCAGTATCTTCAGTTCTTAAGTATTTTGTTCCTTCTAAAATAGTATTTGCCTAACATGTTTTTGTACACGCGTCTTAAGTTGGACACACCGATTTGGCAGTTAAAATGTTTGGTTTTTTTTAGAGCAATTGGAGGTGAGTTTTTTTTTTTTTTTTTTATAGAGTCAGCAAAATTTGGAACGGCTCTGAAGGGGAGGTAAGTCAGTCAGATTGCTAGGTGCCAACAACTGTTAGTGCTGGCTGTCAGGCCTGTGGATTTAAATATAAAGGATAAGATGTTGTTGTTTTTGTATTAAACAAGAGTAGATGTGAAGCTTAATCTTTGCTATAGGTATATATTAAATGTTATTTCAACCACCAGAAAAAAAAAACTTTTAGGAAGTGCCAGAAAGGCTAAAGATCATTTCATCCGCTGCAGCCCCAAATAATCCACATCTGGTCACCAGTGGCCTAGGCCTAGGTTGAGAACCAAGGGGGTCATTGGCTCAAGTCCCCATGGACCAAAATTGGGACTGGTTCCTGAGGAGATGCCAGTTCACTTGCCGGGCGCTGCCGAGGGTCCCGTGAGCAAGGGAACCATACTGGACAAGGAAGGTCTGTTTGTAGCCCCTTCACTTCAAGGTCAAGGTTTCTTTATTCGTCTCTCTCACACACACACACACACACACACACACACACACTCCTACAATCACAGGCGCATGCACACTGTGCGCATGTACACGTGCCACTCCAAACACTTACGGTTTCATACATGCATTCATACACTTAACCTACATCTCTTCAATAATGCATGTCAATAGGTCCTATTTTGGCTTGTCTGTATTTCAGGCCAAAGGGGATTAAGGGAGTAGCTTGTTTAAAATTAAGTTAACTTTTAAGACATTTTATTTAAAAGTCAGGAACTTGATGTTACCTGACATCTTCCTCGTTGAATGCTATTAACTGGCAAAGCTCTTGAACTAACCAGCTCGTCGGATTTTAAGGACGCACATCAGTCCCTCCCTCCTCCCCTCTGTGGTTTCTCTCCACCTGTTCTGTTGGTGCCTCCGCCTCTTTTCTGCCTCCTCACGCAGCTTCCTCAGCTTCCTCAGCTCCTCTGGAAACACTACACCCCTGTGAACTTTTACCTTCAAACCTTTCCGCAACAGACGTTAAGAGAAAGCCAAAGCTTCAGTCTACCGCTTCAAGTTTGTCTGTGCATCACATGGATTGTGCTTTCCATTTATGATTTCCGGATATCGCGGATACAGGCTGCAGGTAGGGACCATCCAAGACGCACGACACACACACACACACACACACACACACACACCGTGATGATTTACTGTTTCTGGACGCGATATCAAAGGCAGTGATTTTTATGAAACGTGAAAATAAAGGAAATTGTTGCGCAACAATCAACATTTTCCTTATAGTTTAATTTGTTCATTATACATCATGTATAAGCTTTGATACGTATGCTGCCTGAATGTGTTGGAGCGTGATTAGCAGCCAAAATGAGTTTAATTTGATACTTATGAAGCGTTGTTCTTTTAAGTGACATTCTTTTGACTATATTTCAAATGTTGGAAAAATGTCTCCAATCAATCTTTTCCACTAGTTGCTCTAAACTACCAAGTCAAGACATTACAATTTTCTTGACACCTATTTCAAGGAAAATTGTGCAACAGGTTGCCCAATAAATGACAATTTTCTTTTAAGTAAACGCTGCTGCTGTGATGTGAGACTATATTTAATATTATTTAGATCTTCAGAGACCTTTTACATCTAACAAAGCAGACAGTGATGTCTCATGTGATGCAGAATAATAACAGTGATGTTTTTACTCCTCAGGTCTCATTGCTGCAGTCTCATGCCCACCTGCCAGATGTTACCACCTGCTGCCTGCTTGGGACTGATTTGATGTGACCCTCAGACCTCATTACTGGTCATCATGGGATGTGGCACTTCTGTTTCCACAGAAACGCAGGACAAAGTAGTGGAGAAAGGTAAAGATGTGTGCACACTTCAAAAGGCAGGTGCTGTTATTTTTGCTCCTTCAGACAGTCCGGGTCTGTCACACATTTTCCCCGTGCTGTCAGCAGGAAAATGTGAATGTGTTGCCCCCTGAGGAAAGGTTTGAAAAACAATTGCTATGAAAAAAGGAGATGACATGTCAGGACAAGATGAGCACAAATAGGCCGGAAGTGTTCGGAACTAATTGGAGCAACACAGAATGAATTTAAACGAGGCCTTTGGGATGAACGACATAATGTAAACTTTCAAAGTTGTGTCTTTAAACAGACTTTCAATCAAGACAAGACAAAGATGCACTCCTGTATCTAACTTCTAGTATCTAAACTTTAAAATCAATGTATACACACAGTCAAATGTCTGTTTGCTCCACAGTCCACATAAAACAAAGCTGAAACAAGCTAATCAGACATTAACAATCGTAATTTTAATTAAGAAGCCCAAAGACTTTTTTGTGCAAAATAAAGGTTTGCATTTTGTACTTTTGATATCAATTCAAACTAAATTTATTTTGAATTGGAGAAACTTTTTTTCAGTCAACCTCTTGTTCATGACCTCCCCTGTGTCTTATTTTTTTCGTATTGTGTGTGTGTGTATGTTTAATTAATTGTTGAATTAATTACCAGTGTCTCATACTCAGCTGTAGTTTTTCCTCTTTTTTTTTTCCACACAGATAATTCAGTTAAGGCTCCCAACCCCGCTCTGAGTAAGACCCTGCTCATCTCTCAACATCACTCTGTGACACGTGATGTGTGTGTGTGTGCATCAGTGTGTGTGTGCATCAGTGTGTGAGTGTGTGCATTTTGAACATGCCCCGTTGATGTTTCTAACAGTATGCATGTATGAAAGACGCAGCAGAAATAACAAACCTTTTTTCAATGAGTCAGTTAATTAAGGTCTGCATTCCATCACTTTTTAATGCAAATATAAACTGTGCCCTGCTGTGCTAGAAATAATAAAAAGAGATAATATGTACTGCATGTATGTGGTGTCTAGGCATGAGACATCATACATTCAAATAAAAAAACAGCAGATTTATTGTTGCAGCTATGAAGGCTGCTGTTTTGATCCAGCGATGGTACCGACGCTACATGGCCCGCCTGGAGATGAGACGTCGGTACACCTGGAACATTTTTCAGTCCATCGAATACGCCGGAGAACAGGACCAGCTTCAGGTGACTCTCTGCACCAGCATGCTTAAAAACTGATGATTTCAGACACAGCACAGATCTAAAACATGTTTCGTCATTTGTCTTTCTTTAGCTCTCCAGCTTCTTCAGCTTCATGCTCGATAACTTCACTCAGCTGAACGGGAATGGTCCAGGTTATGTGCCAAAAGCTTTTCTACTACATACTGATATCAAAAAGGATTTTGTCTGTCCAAAAAGCTGAGTCTTTGTTATTAGGAAATATTGGAGGTGAAGATGATATAATTTTTCTTCACCCTGTGCATTCTGTCTATACAGCCCTTTTAATGGCTGTCTCTGTCTAAAACTTTGATTTGTGAGGCTAAAATGGTCACGTCATGTATTTTAAAGCTTCAAAAAGCATTTTAAGGTTTATGTGATGCTGGAACTGAAATGATTAAAATATAGATTTATTTTTCACCTCCATGAAATTAACTCTATTTTTGCTGTCATGCCCAGTTATTTTGGTCTTTATTTTAAAAAGTCATGTCATTTACCCTGTTGCTTAGCAACTAGTGTGAATGGGGAGGCGTGTGTGTGTGTGTGTGTGTGTGTGTGTGTGTGTGTGTGTGTGTGTGTGTGTGTGTGTGTGTGTGTGTGTGTGTGTGTGTGTGTGTGTGTGTGTGTGTGTGTGTGTGTGTGTGTGTGTGTGTGTGTGTGTGTGTGTGTGTGTGTGTGTGTGTGTGTGTGTGTGTGTGTGTGTGTGTGTGTGTGTGTGTGTGTGTGTGTGTGTGTGTGTGTGTGTGTGTGTGTGTGTGTGTGTGTGTGTGTCTGTCTGTCTGTCTGTCTGTCTGTCTGACATAGCTGTGGCTTAAGTCTGTATTGACCGACTCTTCCATCTGAAAATCAAAAAAGCTCCATTGACCAGCTGATCCTCAGGTCATTAAAGAACATCATCTTCATCGGTTTTATATCTTCAACATAAGTGATGCAAGCCGAGCACACTATGATGTTTCTACTCATCAGGTTATATACATCATGTGTGTATGTGTGCAGTCGTGTGTGCATTTGTTTAACCAGGAAACAGACTCAGAGAAATAGGCCTGAAGGTAGATATCTGTTCCTGCCTTGTTTGTTTGCATAAATTAGACAGCATCAGTTTCTCATTAGCATGTTGGAGTGGTCTTTTAATATGACAGTGAGGTCACACACACAGAGCAGAGGGGGACGTTTTTTGTTTTTTTTTGTGTTCAGCTGTTTATGAACAAGGAACTACAAATATACGTGTTGTAGTTTATTTGGTAAACAATTCCTTTTTTTCAACCCCCAAGAAAAACTTGAGCTCACCTATCGTTCCTTAACACAATATTCTTAAAAATAATTGCAGTTGGGGCACTGGTGGCGCAGTGGTTAGAGCGCGCGCCCCATGTATGGAGTCTATAGTCCTCCAAGCGGGCGGCACAGGTTCGAATCTGACCTGTGGCTCCTGTCCCGCATGTCATTCCCTACTCTCTTTCTCCCTGATTTCCGACTCTGTCCTATCTCTCCAATAAAGGCACAAAAAGAAATAAATCTTTAAAAAATTGCTGTTGTATAGCAGTGAAGGTAAATACACTCTTGTTAGCAGGACTGCACTGTGATATCCATAATGAATCTTACACTGAATTTATGTCTTGCCTTTGTGCAACATGCAAACTCACCCTGACACCCTGACGTTTTTTTTAAATTGGATAATGTGAATACCTTGATTTGTAAGCTCAGACCAGGTTACTTTGTGACATGAGAAGACAATGTAATGTGTTTTAAGACCTCTATATTTATTTCAATCTAATTCAGAAGATCAGTGCGTTAACACCTCCTCTCACTGTATCCTACAGACCTGATCTCCCAGTTGCTGGACCCGGTTGTCAACCCCTGGTTGGACAGAGAAACCTGCTTCAACATGATCCCTGTTCCTGAGTCATACACCGGGCCCCGACTGTCCTTTCCTCTCTCCGTCTCAGACACAAATGCTCTCCTCAATGGTTTTAAAGAGCAGCAGGTATGAGTATTTCTTTCTCTTTATCACTTGAACTGTTGACTGTTCGTTTTAGGTTTTGGGTGCTTTTAGGGACTCATGTCAATCACTTTCCTTTCCACACAGACTCTTCATGCCAGATATGTTCTGCAGCTGCTGTACGAGGCCAAAAAGCTCCTCAAACAGATGCCAAATATCATCCACTTATCAACGTCATACACCACTGAGATCACTATATGTGGTGAGTGACCTAAGACACAAGGTTGTTTTATTTTTTTTTAAGAAAAAGTGAGATCAGGATTTGTTGTTTATTATATGCGTACATGCAGTATTTCACCATCCATTGGGACACTGTATAGATCTAATGTCCTGGTTAAGTGATTGCTGGTGTCTGGGAATGACTTTGAAATACAGCTCACTGTATCTTAATGGCATCCGTCCAAAAGGAGGTCATGTTTATTCACAGTGATGCGGTACTTGACTCTGGTTTCATGGCTGCCTCCTCCAGCAAATCTGCATCTCATTCAGCGTGAGAATACTTGTGCCTAAAACATAAACACACACTTTTTTTTAGCCTGAAGTTGAACACTTTGCTTTCCTGTTACAATACCACTTTACTCATGAAAAATAGAATGAATGTAGCTGGAAAACTTCTTAATAGTGGTGCTGTCTGTGTTGGTGCAGGTGATCTGCATGGACGGCTTGATGACTTACTCCTCATATTCTATAAGGTAATTTCTTTCTTACAGTAACAACTTTCTGGAGTATTCACACGTACTAAAACAGGCAGTCAGTGCTGCTTAATTTAGGCTTACGATCATGTTTTGATGTCATGGTATGTTTCAGAATGGCCTTCCCTCTGCCGAGACGCCGTACGTGTTTAACGGGGACTTTGTGGACCGTGGGAAAAAGTCGGTCGAAGTGGTCATGCTCCTCTTTGCTTACCTTCTGCTTTACCCGGATTACATGCACCTGAACAGAGGGAACCATGAAGACCACATCATGAACCTCAGGTGGGGAGGAAGAGGAGTAGAAGTGAAAGGAAACAGTCATTTTTCTTAAGTTAACCACACATATGAGAGCAGTACAAAAATATAATGATCTCCATGTGATGTTATTATATTGTTGTTTCAGATATGGATTCACAAAAGAAGTCATGCAGAAGTACAAGGTAGAGTCAAGTTGAGATAAAAGTCATTGATGTAAAAACCCAATTCACCCTCAGGATTAATGGATCTTTTATAAAAAAAAATATGATTTCTTTTTTACTGAGTGCAGGCTCATGGCCGTGAAATCCTCCAGCTGTTTCAGGATGTTTTCAGCCTCCTTCCCATCGCGACAGTCATTGATGGAAAGATCCTGATTGTTCATGGAGGGATCTCCGACCAGACTGACTTGGACTTTCTCGGCTCCATAGAGAGGAACAAGGTCTTTGAAAACATTCAGCTAACCACCGTCCCAAACCTCCTCCAACCTCGGTTTCTTTTCTTTCTTTGTTGATTTTGGACACTAGGGGTCAAAAATTCCTTGAAAAGATTCTTAAAGTTTAGTTGTCATGGTTACCATGGTAGCAAACAAAATGTAAAGTTCATACCCAGCAGACATGGAGCAGCAACAATGCGCCTAAGAAAAATATCTGCATATTGAGAGCATCTTCCATGTAGTAAGTCTTGATTTCCAACAAGACTTAGCACATCCCCCATAGATTAAAAAACGTGCACCATGAAAGGACGTTATGATCTTGCATCATTGGGTATTTAAGTTAAGTTTTACTTTTTGTATGAAAAACATTCTAGTGAGTTATGCTATATGAATTTTGTGCTTCTATTGTGTGTAGACCTAAATTGACTTGTATGTAGTCAGGAGAGATTGATTCACTTTGCGCCTGCTTGATCAAGAGTAAAAAAATAAAAAATAAAAAACCTGAAATGTGAATTAATGTTGCCCCTTGTGCCTCTCTGAAGCACAAAGCAAGCCTGTCTGCATAAATACAGTGGAGACAGTGTACAGACAAAAAAAAACTGTCCATTTTGATACCAGCCTATTATCGACAATCAATTTGAGATATCCATTAATGTCTTAATTAACCTATAATTCCTTTGTTCTATTTTTTTCCTGTGTTTTTTTTTTCTCTTCGCTCATAGGTTAAATCTGCCCTGAGGTTTCCCAGGCGCAGTTTGGGACAGCTGGATATCGGTCAATGCTGCAGACAGATGAAGGGAATAAGATCGACTGACAGCTCTTGTGCCAGCAGCAGCTGCAGCCACAGCAAGAACCAAAGAACACAAAACCAGAGGTCTGACATCATTCCACTGCTGCTTACAGGTTTTTTTTTTTTTAAATTAACGTCAGTGTGAAAGATTCCTTTGATTTGCTCTTCCTGCAGGAAGAGGAGATGTTTTCCCAGCCGACAAGACAGCGCCGTCTCCACTTCCTCTTCCTCCTCTTCATCCTCCTCCTCTTCCTCCTCCCTGTGCTCTCCTCGGACGCCGTCCCACCTCACGCCTCGTCAGTGTCCGTCCTTTCCTAGCTCGCCTCACGCCATCAGTGTGCTCCAAGTGCCTTTCCTGGACTCACTCTCCTCTGTTGGCCCTCCGTCACCTCCACAGCATGAGCGTGAATGGAAACAGGTCAGAGAAGGGGAATCGGTGGTGAAGAAATGATATCTGCCGCTGTTTTTTGCGACAGACGGAGCATGTTAATATTGTTTCAAACTGTCCTACAGATAGTGGATATACTGTGGAGCGACCCTAAAACACAAGAAGGCTGCAGTCCTAACACATTCAGAGGTGGAGGCTGCTACTTCGGCCCTGACGTCACACAGAGACTTCTGCTCCAACACGGACTGCAGCTGCTCATCAGATCCCACGAGTGCAAACAGGAGGGATACGAGCTCTGTCATGGTGGACAGGTAGTACAGAGAGGCAACAGATCAAATGCAAACTGTCCAAACACATGCTGAAATTGTTTATGTATTCTAGGTGATCACAATATTCTCAGCATCAAACTATTATGAGGAGGGAAGTAACCGAGGGGCTTACATCAAAGTGGGTAGAGAACTGGTTCCCCGCTTCTACCAGTACCAAGTCAGCCGCACAACGCGCAAACTCACCCTGACACAGAGGTACGGCATGTCTCTGGAGTGTGCATGTGAGTGTGTGTCTTTGTGTGTGTGTGTGTGTTTGAATGTTTAAGGGTTGGGCAGTCTTACAGACAACTTGGATTGACCAACAAATATGACTTTTGATTGATAGTTCAGATATATTTTTAGCTGTCTTCATCCTCAATGTAAGATTTTTGTGCCTTTTCTCAATTTTAAACTGTGTAGAATTAAATATGTTTTGGGACTTTTGAGTTGTCACAACAATCTATTTACAGATATTGCCAGGGGTTCTGTTTCATGTTGATTGACTTTATTTGACTTACAGTCTCTCTTATCAATAATTACATTTACATTTCAGTTAAATCAGTAGGAAAGCTCGATCATAGTTAATGACCTGTGTTTGTCCAGGGTCCGAGCTGCAGAAGGCTCTGCTCTCAGGGCTCTGAAGGAGAAACTGTTCAGCCATCGCTCTGAGCTCATGTCGGGCTTCCAGCAGTACGACCAGAATAACAAAGGTACGCTCTCCTCATCGCTCCACAGGTCTAACTTAAAACATGAATTACCCAGGTTGACATAGAAGTTCTTCTAAGTTAGCATATCTATTCTCAGGTTGTGTGTCGGTCAGTGAATGGACTCTGGTGTTGGAGGCTGTCCTGAGACTCGACCTGCCATGGAGGACTCTGCGTCCGCACTTAGCCCGTCTGACACCAGATGGCAGCGTGGAGTACCAGTCCTGCTTTGAGGACATGGGACCAGGGAACTCTCTGCCACAGGTCAGAGAAAGCAACCTATAGTATTATTAACGACTTAAGTGCTGTCCTTGAGAAAATATTTTGAGTTCTTCTTTGTCAACTTTCCTTAGAAAGCAGAAAATGATAGATCATTATTAAGCATTTAATCATAAATGCAAAACATAGTATTCCCAAAAGGGTGAAAATTAAGGTTGTTTATCTGGTGCACTACTCTAGTTTTACTAAAATATATCCAGGAGTCCACAAAAATGTCTGGAGTGACAGGTTAGAAACAGAAGTGTGAAGTTGATATGTCTGAAGAACGACAGCAGGCTGGACAACAAAATTACAAACCCAAAGTAATAACCAGTCCCAGTCTTATGGTTTTTTTTTCTGCTGAATCAACATTAAAGAACTCAAAGTTCAGTGCAGACATCCTGTTTGTTTTCAGCATCAAGATACCACTTACAGCTCAAGAAGGGATACTTTTCAGATTAAAGTGCTTCTCACTGCTGCTGTTACACACTATCAGTGGATGTTTTGAACTTTCTTTTCCCCTTGTCTCCTCTAAGGTCACTCCAAATTTAGCTGAAACTCTCTTCAGATACAGGACGGACATTGAGATAATATTCAACATTATAGACAAAGACCATTCAGGTAGGAAATCATGTAACGATTTTTTTGGAGTCTTTGAGATGTATATCTTCAAATCCAGTGAATATGTGTTCTCCATGTGCAGGTCTGATCTCCATCGAGGAGTTTCGTCACACCTGGCGTCTCTTCACTGCACACCTTGGTGTTGACATCGACGACAGAGCCATCGATGACCTGGCCCGGAGTATTGACTTCAATAAGGACGGCAGTATAGACTTTACTGAGTTCCTGGAGGCCTTCAGGGTGGTTCATAAACTTGACAAGGATCAGCATGTGAATGGAAGATAAACAGAAGTATTTATGGAGGGGAAGAATCTATACCCTTCAAGAACCTGGTCTGTATGATCAGCAGGGAAAGTGATAGAGGGAAAAAAAGTAGGAAAGCGTTGATGAGATGAAGTGATTTAGAATTATTTTTAGTTTAAAAAAAACTCGCATTGAAACACTTGAAAACTTAAAGTAATGATTTGTTTTTTTCCAAGCATATCTAATGGCATGGCAAAGGTCCTGCGCTGTAGGATGTCTCAATATCGCAGTTTCCTTTCAAAGTAAAATATCTCGATAACTATTGGATGGATTGCTATGTAACTCTGTACAGGCGTTCATGTTCCCCAGTAAATAAATCCTGCTCGACATTCCTCAACACTTGATCTAGAACCACCAGCAAGCTTATATTTGAAGTCCAAGAAAAAATAATCTATGAATCAATATTATTTTTACTGATGTAGTGCCACAACAAAAGTTATTTCATTACACTTCAACATAAAAACCAGGTCTAGATTGAACAGTCACCCAGTGGCAAGGAACACTTCCTTTTAACCGGCAGAAACTTTAAATCAAATTTGTTGTTCCCAAAAGATAAATCTCAAACAATCTTTATTTGTATAGAGCCAATTCGTATCATGTCTAGACCCAACATTAATCCACCATGAGCACAGCACTAAAGCAAGGAAAGACCTTCTTTAAGAGGCAGAACCCTCGAGCAGAACCAGACTCATGTTGATCAGCCATCTGCAATGACTGTGTTGGGCTTGGAAAGAGGTAAAGAGGGAAAGAAAGAAAGAAAGAAACGGATGGAAAGAGACAAATAAATTAACTATAACGACAATAATGAATAAAAGATTCATGACAATGACAATAATAATGGTAAAAGTATGTGTAGTAATAGCAGTAACAGCTAAGTATGATAATCAAATGATCAGTCTAATATTAACATTAGCAACTATGATGATAATGAAATGGGTAGGACTGATTATGTTCATTATAGCCGTTGAAGTTGAGCAGCTTTTAGATTCTCATTAATGTTTATAATGATGAAATAGACGTCAGGCTGAGCAGCACGCCGTGCACATCCACGATCCAGAGCAACCTACAAGACAAGGAAGCTCAGGAGCTCCCAGGAGGACATATGGTTATTAACTCAAATGGTACATGAAGATTTGAGAGAGGGAGAGGGAGAGAAGATGAGTCAAATGATACTCTTTATATCGTGGGGCATGACTATACACTGTAAAATCACGAAGAACAAAACAAAAAAAAAAGGAAAGAAAAACTCTGAAGTAGGAGCTGGGGCTGCTACATGTTTTATGTGCAGATGTACAGACGCAGACTAGTGAGAACCATAGTGCACAACAGATACAGCAAGAGAACCAATGTGAAGCATTTCTATTACCTGTATATCAAAACTGTAGTTTTACACTTACTGATGTATAAAAGAACAAAATGCCTTTTTAAAATGTATTGTTGTATTTTGTGTATTTGTGTCTGATGTTTCACTGTGTGTGAGCTGATGCTTCATCACTCTGGCATCCTGCCGCATAACTACCAAAGTGTGAGAGCAGTTAAACAGGCATCCTGTCTGCAAATGTAAATGATGGGTTCAGGTTTTACCATTGGTGTTAATTTGCTGCACACACACACACACACACATTTTAAACCTGCATGAACAGTGCAGCTGCAGACGTGGAGGGTAAGAGACAATAGGAGAGGTGGCGAGAATAATTTTTCAGTCATTGTTTTAATGCAAAGCTCCCTGGAAGCTGCTCTCATTTTTGACAAAGGCTTGCTTTAAAGCAGGTAAAAACAATTCTCTCCTGACACTGACACATCCATCTGTCAGAGTGTTTTGCATAAGCTCCATCTTATCCCCCTTTTCCGTCTTTCCTTCCCTCTTCCTTCCTTTCAGTACTTTACCCTGCAGAAATCCCAGATGAGGTTTCTCCTCCCCTCAATCTTCAACCTCTTGTATACTTCCCACTTTCACTCTCCAAGTGCTTCTCTTAAGCCCTCCCACTCCTTCCCTTTAAACCCTTGAAACAATTTCAACTAGATAGACCAAAGTCTTATCCTGGACACACATTCAGATGGAGGATCAGAAGAGGCTCCTGGTCCCATTGTTTGCTCTGCTCTGTGTCTACACTCCAGGTACTTCTTCATGTTTATGTCCCTACCTGTTTGTTACTGTAAGAGAAGGCATTTATTGAGAAACTGTCTGCAGTGTGTGGAGCTGAGGGATGCAGTGGTTTTAAACACCTGGAAAACGGACAGACGTTTTTCCGATACGGTGGGCTGCTGGTGATCTTCCGCTGTCGCCCTGGATACAAGCTCCATGGATACCAAACCAACAGCTGTGTGTCTGGGCACTGGTCGCGGGAAACCCCAGTATGTGTTGGTGAGGAGATTCCTTCCTGAGCATGTTCTGTAAAACTTTTATTAGGATTCCTGCTTTTTGTTGATAGATGAACTTGGAGGATTACGTTCCTTTTGACGCTTGACTTTAGTTGAAGTGTTTTTTGATTTGGAAATCATCGGATAGGAAATCATCAAAGAACACAAAAGTCCCTGGTCAAACCTAAACCTGTTGTCACTTCCCATGATATTCTCCCCCTCCTTCAGGATCTGGTTGTTCCGACCCAGGGCCGCTCAGCCATGGCACAAGCAGCATGAATGAGGACCGCTCATGGGCTGTGTTCAGCTGCGATAGTGGCTTTCGACTACATGGACCTTCAATGTTGTACTGCAAGGGCCACATCTGGAACAGTACAAAGCCTGTCTGCAGAGGTGCAAAAGAAAAAATCTCACCTATTCATGCATAACTTTGACATTTAAGAAAATACAGTCATTGTTTTCTTTACGATACTCTTAAATGTGGAGCTAGCTGCTACTTAGCTTAGCATAAAAACAGGAAAGTATAAGCTTTGTCTTTGTTACAAAAGCCACAAAATCCATTTACAAACCTCAAGTTCAAAATAAGGGGTGGAAAATGTTTGACTAGTGATGGATGGGCTGGTTCAGGACAGGTAGCAGTGACTTCCTGGTTTCTACTTTCGTCACATGGAGTAAAAAAGAGTTTATATTGTGTTTTTTTTCTACTTTGGGTTTTGTATTAAATTCATGCAATCTTTATTTCAATCTTGAAGAATTAAAAAGATATGCTCTAATTAGCGTAAGCCTTAGAATAATTTTTGTAGCACAGTTTTGCAACTATAGAGCTTATAAGCTAACGATTTCTGTCCATTTGTGCTAAGCTAAGCTAAAGGCTGCTTGTTACAGCAACATATTTCCTTTGCTGATGTAAAATTGGAATGGATCCTCTTATCTCACTCTCACAATGAATTGAATAAGTGTAAAAATGCCAAAGTATTCCTTTTAAATTAGACAATGTCGCAGTTGTTTTAACAGTCCTATACTTTTTTTTTCTGTCAAACAGCAGTATATAGACAAAGCATTTAAACATACTCAAACTAGAATTATCTTTAAACATGTTTAAAGGTTTTAATTTACAAAAAGACTCGCCTTGCTTTGCCCTAAATTTTTTCCCTTTTTCTCCTCGTTAGAGTCCGACATGATGAGCTCGGTTTTAGGTGTTAATATACAAAAGCCAAACATCCAACACCAGATTCTTCAGGCTGCTGTAGTTCTGAAGACGCAGCAACAATCACACTACAACACTATGGCTAATACTGCATCTAAAGAAGCAAACCTCAATATTGGCCAATTGGCTCACACGCCATCAGTGTCCAACAATCAGAGGGTTCAAGTGGTTCATTCAAAAGTCCAAGTGCAGGAGCAAAATCTGCTTCAGAACTTAAAATTCAAAGATGGATTTCAGACGACTCATCATGAGGTTGATCTTCAGGTGACGAACGAAGTCGAAGGACCAGGAACTGAAATTAAGGGCGATATCTCAGAGGAAAAAAAATTCAAGGAAAAAGTGGAAAAGTTAGACAAAATAACTCAATTGTTTGCCTCCAAATCATATCTCTCTACTACTGTCTCATCAGAGCTATCAATAGTGGCTGTAACAGAACAGTCAGTATCTACTTCACCATCACTTTCAACAGTTCAGACACCAGCCATAACTGCTTTCACAAATACTCATTTAAAGAATATGCTCCCAGTTGTGGCGTTCTCCCCAACTGCATATCTTCACCACACACAATCTGCTCTCGGGCCTGGCAGAGAAAACCCCCTCTCATATGGTGATCATGGCATCGACTTGGATCTTGTTTCTCCCTTTGAAGTAGTAACAGACACTTTACAAACTAAAGACCAACAGGCTGAAACCAGCTCTGAGTATCCTCTTCTATCCCAGTCTGGATCTCCAGATGACAAAGTCCTCACAGAGACTTCAACTATTACTATTACTACTATTTTAGTTTCTAGTAGTTCTGCCTCCACGTCATCCTCTGCTTTATCAGCACTCTCCAAATCAGACACAGTTTCTTCCTTTTCTACCCAAACTTCCTCAACCCTCAGCTCCACCCAGTCCAAAATGAAGACACAACCATCAAACACCTCCACAACCATTGAGCAAAGATCTAACTGGAGTGAATACAACAACCTTATGCCAACTGCTACCTCCAAACCACCTCTGCCTGTACTGAATCGAATCAGACGACCTGTCTGCCCGTACCCACCTGTACCTGCCCATGGTACCTTCTACTTTCGTAATGTGGAGAATCCAGGTCCCAGAGAGTACAGACACTACATCCAGTATGCCTGCTATCCTGGTTTTACCCTGGCTCATGGAGACATACACAGCTACTGTCATCAGGGCAGGTGGAGCGGAATCACACCTGTTTGTCTGGGTTGGTGATGTTGCTGCTTCATAAACATTATTGATGCCTAATTTAATCTGAAAAGGCTGCAGCCGATAACATACTTCATTCCTACTGGGATTCATTTTGAAGATTTTACTTGTGTTATTAGCGATTGCAACTTACTTATCTTATTTTTTATCGTGTCTTTATTTTTTCTTTTACTTCCAGAAGCTTTTTTGAGGCTTTAACATTATACCAGAGATACAGCCGTTTTAATCAAGTGTCTTGTGTGTTTTTGATTTAGTGACATCAGTATGTCTGCAATACAGATCATCACAATGTGCAAAACATGATTTTGAACAAAATTATCTCACCTCTTGATGAGACTCAGTCTCTGCAGTTGTGCTGATTAAAAAAAAGCAGCATCTCATGTGTCAAACCTCTTTCCAATCAGCTAAAACACTCTGAAAGTCAGCATATTTAAATGTTAGTTCTCTAGACTTGTCATATTTGAAACAACCTTTATGCATGTTGTTTCCCCTGAACTGATCAATTGTTGCTGTTTGTCTCCAGAGTTGACACCATGTTCAGTTAATAATGGAGGCTGTTCCCAGCTGTGCTCTCACTCCCAGCTGTACAACCAGAGCTCCAAACAGACCCAGACCAGAACTGAGTGTCACTGCAGACCTGGATTCACTCTGCTGGATGACGGGCGAACATGTCGAGGTGAGCACACTGATTTTTTTTTTGTTCTTTCCCCACAGACTGTTACATTCCCCTTGAATCCTCTGTGGACCCCCTGCTCTCTTCCTAATAACAACACAGCAGCACTGAGGCATGTTACCGCACAACAGGGAATCTGCTTCATGTGTGTTTTATGTGTTTGATGTTCCACGACTCACTGACGAGCAGATGTGAGCTGTGAAATCTATGGCTGCATCTTTAGGTATATTTTCACAGGTTACACGTGGCTGCTCACACACAACCTATCATTTTTGAGAGGCATCAGTGGGTGGTGTAGATACATTTTTTAAAAACTGTGTTATTATCATCAGTGTGTACTCTGAGTGATCGTCCTGTTCAGGCAAAAGTGATCTGACTGATTACAGGTTAGTTTTAGCCTGAAAATTACACTTCAATAAAGAAGACTTGAAGGATTCCAGTCTGTTCAGAAATGTTGTGTCTCTTTTGGTTCTTAGTTCAAAAGATGTTATTTCTGAACCCAGATTTGTGGTTTCTAAATGTAGAGATGTGTCAGAAAATGTCATTTATAAGGAGAAAAGATTAGATGAATAGCTTTTCTCTATTAACTGAGGGTAAAGCTGATATACAAGCTTGCTGAGTCCTCCCTACACATCCTTCTTTCCTGTCTCTGAAGGACAGGACGTAGGAAGAAAACGTCTGCGTTCTGGTTTGCTCATTAAAAGGCCAAAACAGAGAGCAAACATGGAGACACATCAATGAGGCTTCAGATTCCTGCTTGATTCAGAGCGACAGGGGAGCCAACCACCTTTCATCTGCTGCTCTTTTCTTTCATCTCTTTGCAGCCTGGATTGTGTGTTTCTGTCAGATTGATGACATTGTTTTGGTGTGTGTGTGTGTGTGTGTGTGTGTGTGTGTGTGTGTGTGTTTACGTGTGTAGATGTTGATGAGTGCATGGAGCAGCAACACCAGTGTCAGCAGAGATGCAACAACACATTTGGTTCCTTCAAGTGCAGCTGTGAAGACGGTTATCACGCAGCTCCTGACCAAATCTCCTGCACAGGTGTGTGTTGCATGTGTTCATACGTTTGTCTGTTTATGTCATTAGCATCAATCAACAAAGTGTTTTACTACCTCACTTCCTGTCTTTCCAGATGTGGATGAGTGCCTGCTTCCTGCAGCTGTCACTGGCTGTGCGTTCGGCTGTGTGAACACTCCCGGTAGTTTCCACTGTCAGTGTCCTGTAGGATACATCCTCCAGACTGCAGATAGACTCTGCAAAGGTTTGAGGACACTCACTTAACAACACTGTGAGCCATGCAATGCTCCTTTACGCCATGCTAGAAGCAAGGATGGTTATGTCATTCTACATTTTCATCCGTCTGAAATATCCAAACATCTGCTTGATGGACAGATGTTCCAAAGTTGGTAAACACCTTCATGTTTCCAAGATGATGAATCCTAATCTCATTGCTAACAGCTTGTCTTTTCAATAAACGCCACTACAAGGTTTCCATGAGGTTGGGAGTAAAAAATCATTCCGGGCAATTTTATTCCATTTATTGTTAGACATTTTACTTGTCATCTTTTGTGTTGTTCTGGTGCAAAAAATATAATTGCATTACAGTTCTGTAACTTAAAAAACAGCACAGAGTATTTCTAACACTCAAGAAACATTAAACTTTTTCTCAGTTCCTTTGCCCCTTTAATTATGTGACAATACAATAGAATACACGGGAATAATGAATAAAACAGAAAAGGTGGAAACTCAAGCCTGTTATCACCTTCTTTCCTCATTGCTTGTTCTTATACAGATATAGATGAGTGTGCTGTTAATCAGGGTCTGGGACCATGTATGGAGCAGTGCCTGAACACACCTGGATCATACCGATGCTCCTGCCCATATGGACTCATCTTAGACAGAAACGGACACAGCTGCATCCCCGAGTGTCCGCCTGGCTACAAGAGCCAACAGACAACAACACCTGAGAATACAACAACACTCATTCTTAGGGAGGAGTGTGAAGGTAAGGGTGACGCTAAAGAAGAATCCTTTAGTTCTGTCAAAAGTCTGAGCTTCCTTTGTTGTGTCCACACACAGATATCAACGAGTGCCTGGAGGAGGACAGGTGTGGGTGGCAGTGTGTCAACATGCCAGGCTCGTACAAATGCATCTGCCCCAGAGGATACACACTGCAGGGAGACGGGCGACGCTGTAAGGGTCAGTGGGGTTATAAACACACACATACACACATACACAGACACAGGCAATGCATGTTTCTACACATACACACATGGTGTTAAGTATGTGTAATATTTTAGTAAAGAAATAATGGCAGTAACCTTTTCTTGAAACTAAGGTTTGTTATTTTATCTTTTTTTAAATGTCATTCATTTGGATTACCTCAGGCCACACACACTGCAGCTCTAAGGAGCATTTAACTTATACACTGTAGAAGTTAACTATTAAAAATGTGTTTAAAAAAATCAATGGATTCTGGGGCTGGAGGCGTTAATTTAATGTAGGCCAAAGTCTTTAGCTGTTTAATGCTAACAGAGATTTTAAAAAGTGAAAATTATTAAAGGTTAGGCTTCTCCTTTTCCTAAATAAAATGGTTTCTGTAATGTTGTATACTAAGCCCCTGTTCTAAAACCTGTCTTTTCCTTCCTCTCCCTTAGACGTTAATGAGTGCAATCGGAAGAACGGAGGGTGCTCCCACCTGTGTGTGAACCAAAAAGGTGGCTATAAATGTGCCTGTCCAGCGTCCCATCGCCTCTCCCCCTTCAGCTGGAAGAAATGTCTGCTGAGGACAACAGCGAACACTGCTGGCTGAGCAGGAAACCACCTCAAATTCTAAACAATATTTAGTCCCACCCATAGAGCAACAATTGGAGCTCTGATATTCTGATAACTGTTGTGTTGGTAGGAATCTGGCCAATCAGAGCAGGAGCCTAGATTAGTAATCAGACAGATGACACATCATCATCCAAACATTTTATTATATGAGAAAAATGTATTAAAATCATATTTCTATGTTGCATATGAGGTTCAGCTGTGTTATCAAAATAAAACAAGTTTTAGAAAATAGAACAGGGACCAACATGATATACTGTTAAAAAAATGAAAATATATTTTAATATCTTAATTATTTTGTTAGTTTAATGAAACAGACATAAAAGAGTTAATGATTTAATTCAAATATATTGACATTCTATATACTCTGTCCTGCTTTCAAAACAAAAGCACAAAGATACAATTGATTTAAACTTCCTTTTTCGTTCTGTCGCTTATCTTATAAACACGTCCAGTCAAGTTTACTGTATGACACACTAACAAAGACCCTCTGCAACATACTGCCACCCTCTGTGGTACTTTACAAACATCTCGTCACTTCATTCTCAACACATAAACCATGCAAACACTGTACATATAATCACTGTATTAGTATATTTACTAACTAACTATGTCACAGTATTAATGCTGAAATCAATCCCAAGGGAAAGAAAACATAAATAAGCTATCTTCACTTCACATTAATAATATAACCTTCAATATATTGAGGTGCATGCTTATCAGTAGGAAAAACCTTGGGATAGCATTCAACCACAGACGGATGGATTCATTATTCAAACACATAAAATATACACAAAGAAAAACCTGGATCATGTTCCCAAACAGGTTCATTTTAATACAACGCAACAACAAGTAAGTATGAGTTCTGAATTATAGAAAACCTGGGAGCTATCAGATGAAACGTTTTGTCAATTCATATGTACAAATTCAACATTTGTAGATAAATATATATGTATATAAATAAAGTTAATTAAGATCTCAAATTGGTTTTAAAATGTATTATTTCCCCCACATATTTCTGTCAGCCTCAGAACAATAAATTATCCTATTAAAAAATTAAAAGTACTATGAACTGCTCTGAATGCAGTAATTCAATTATAAAAATGTTAACTGATATCATCCAGGCTTAGTAAATTCTTAAAACATAACATTAACCAGACTCGTCTGTTGATTAAATATTCTCACACACAACATCACAGCACAGAGATCTTCTTATAGCTATAATAAGTTACATGAAATGCACGTCAGTAGGTCACCTGGAAACGTACAATAAGCAGCATGTTCAAGTAAAAATATACCCAGACTCTTAAAGAAAAATAAATGCCCATGTAATGGTTTCTAAACAGCTGCCTGGCTATGGTTGTGTATCAGTATATTAGAGCTACAGAGTTTTTTGGAGCGGTTTGAACCCTAAGAGAACATTTTTAAGGAGCTGTGCTCTCTTTGCCCTTCATGAGAAAAAAACGTCTATTGAAGGTGTTCTCACTGCATCAAGCAGCTGGAACATGGCAGGAAGTCCTGGACATAAGTGATCGACGCCTTGGAGAGATAGGTCATAGTACCATAGCTGCCACTGGGGGCGCTATCGTAGAAAAAGTTGCAGATTCCCGTCGCAGGATCCTTCTCAAGGAAATAATCACTGGCACTGTGTGATTTCTAGAGAGAAAACAGGTAGAAGAGAGTGAGCTCTGGTGACACAGACATCCTCTCAAACAAACATGTATCTCTTGATTTTTGACAGCTGAGAGAGACAGGGAATGTGGGGAGGAGAGAGTGGGGTAGACCTGTATTATTAAAGGGCAGAGGCTGGGAGTGGAACTTGTGGTCAATACAAGCAGGACTCCAGCCTCTGTACATGCAGCGCCTGCCCTACTGACTGAGCTTAACCAGCGCCCCGAAAAATGTATAAGGTGTAGTACCTGGTCATTGAGGAACAAGTCATTGGCCAAATGCAGGATGCGGTCCACGTGAATAATTCCTCCGATACTTTCAACATCCACATCAGCCACGAGACCGAGAACCATAATAGTCTCCACCAGCAACTGCCGGTACTCTGGTTGAGGGACATGGTTCAAGACTGACTCCACCTGCACCGCAAACTTGATCTCTCCTGCTGTCATCTACACAGAAAACACAGAATTCAAACCCCCTTTTTTTTTTTTTTAAAACACACACACAAATTGGAAGTCAAGCTGCAGTTTCTGCACGATGCTACCTCTCGTGTGGTAGAAGAAGGCAGAACATATCCGTCAAGGGACAGGCCGTGGCACTTCTGCAGGATGGTCCAGACCTTCTGGTAGAAGCCCACTGGTACTCTGTTGATGGCCCCGTCCAGCCTGCGTCTCCTCAGCCACTGGCCCTGCCTCTCCTCCCAGTGAAGCTGTCCGTCACCTGGACCAGTTCCCACGGGGGACAGGATCCCACTGGGGGTGGAGGGGCTGCTGCAACGCTGTGATGGGGAAACCAAAAGATACAGTTAAAACCCTTTGAGTGGAACACTTTTCCTTTTTTCTACCTTACCTTCATGTGAATTAAATGTGTTCCTTAATGTAAACTGTACACTTGTCTGTGCTCTACAGGAAAGCTCTCTTCAATATGACTCTGTTCAGCTTACTCTACCCCCCCCCCTCCTGGAATGTATCACAAAAATATAAAGAATGTATCATTGGTAAAGTTGATTCAGAGCAACTAGAAATATCTTCTTACAATAATTCTTCTTCTTTTTCAAAATGTGGTTCCTGTAATAAATCTCGACTCTCAGCAGACTTTTCTTCAGACTTCACCACTGTGCCATCAGTGACAACCGATCACTTTAGCTTTATGCCTGGATAAGACCCCAAACTGGACCTGTAAGAACACTTTTCTGTGTAAATGGTAAATGGACTTGAGCTTGGATAGCCCTTTTCTAGTCTTCTGACTACTCAGTTGAGAGACGACCACCTCTACCAACTGAGCCACAGCCGCCCACAAAAAAAGCAAGTTCACTTTAAAGACACTGATTAACTGACCTAGGTCTAAAAGGATAAGGTATTATATTAGATCATTAGATCTAAAACCCCTAAGGTAAACAGATCCTTTTTCACAAGACTCAGACTGACAGGAGAAACAAATGTAAGCTTTGTCAATACCATAACAGAAACATGAAATATATAGATAGATGATATAGATATCTATATTCAATTCAATTCAATTCAAAAAACTTAATTTGTCCCCGGGGGGCAATTCAAAATCTAGCACAGATCTCATCTCTCTCTCTTTCACTGAAATGACCGTTATAACACTCACCTATAGTTACCAGTACATGTAATTACTCATGCACAATAACAGCATGCTATACCACACTTGGTAAACAAGACACTTGTAGTACAGGACAAAGCTGGTGCTTCTGTGTGATTAAGTGTTGTAAAAAATTACTCAAAAAAACAAATTTCTGTGTTGCGTGTTTAACTTCAGCCTGATATAGCTTATGCCTTCATGACTCGTTCTTCTTGTACACATAAATCAGTTATAACACTGACATCGCTCCCATAATGAGTGAACAGGTCAGTTGAATTAAATTTAAATAGCACATATTTGTAAATTTGCCTTTAATGGCTACATATTCTGTTCAAGTTCAGTTCAACAAAATCCACAAAAAACTCAAACAGGAAACAGAAGCAGAGAAAAGAAGCAACAGAAGACGTGCATCTCCTGAAGGTCAAACTTGAAAAATTTAGTTTTTTAAAGAATAAACTAAACCACTCATACGTACTGCAATATGTCACAGTAGTAACTGTCTTTGTCTGTCTGCTTCTCTGACACTGGATTTCTATGGCACGGGCACAGTCCATATCAGGTTTTGGTTACACAGGTTACAATGTTAATGAGAGGGATTCAACATTGGTTTGATTTCTCTTAAAATATTTTCTGACAGCAATAAGACTAACAAACACCAGCTTTGTCCTTCATTTGTGCTGAAAACATGCAATCGTTTAGCTTCTACAGAAATAATGACATCTGAATGATTTATGGAGAGTCTGCTGAGCACATTCAATCTTTCTAGCTACGGCAACCCCAGGAGGACAAACCAAGGTTAATTTGAAGCAGATGAAGTGAAATGGTTTACCGTGGAGCGAGGAGAGGTGACTGTGCTATTCAGGGAAAGGCCGCCACTGAAGATCTACATATGAGGATGAATGACAGAGAACAGTTTGAGATGGTTCAAATGGTTCTTCATAGCACAGTTCATAATGTTACCGGAGATGTTTCATCTGTACGATGTCCAGTCTTTACAAACAACATGAATGATCCCTGGACAAAACAAACGATGTTGATCCTTGTTGAACTGCTGTCATGAGGTGAGTTATAAAGATAACAATGAGCAATGAGAGTCTACCATCAGTAGAGGGCAGCGTGGCTCATGATAAAACATTAAGAGACGGCGACCGGTTAATGAGAAGTTGGCAGTTTGATTGATTAGACTGACGTTAGGAATAATAACATGCTCGATATTATCAAACTCAACCCACACTGAGAGGCCGAGAGCCATCCAGCTGCAACCAAAACAAGAACACTGTTATTATTGGTTAAAGATACATTATAAAAGATAGATAGATAGACAGACAGACAGACAGACCTGTTTTATTTCACTCTTCAGCTTGTGTATTCCTGATCGTTCATTCTTGGTTGCTCCCGTGTGGCCCAGTTCATGGATGGAGATGGCAGGACTAGTGGCTGTTGACTGGATTGGACGCACTGACGAACACAGACAGAATAAATCAAATAAACAAGTCAAACATCTTGTATTCAATTTATGGTTGCAGTGCCATCATCTCTGATTTTCTGAACCACAAATGCATTTGACCTTATTGGAAAATAAACCAGGCAAGCAGACAGAAGTAGGATTATGAGTGGGGATATCTTTTTTCCCCAGACAGAGCCATAACTTTGCTAACATCTACTGAATTACAAAGGCATGCTGACCTAAACATAAAATAGAAATGAAGGCTGCAGTGAATGTTTGAATATTTTTGGAGATATTTTGTCAAACATGTTAAAAGTGTTAGACAACCAATTACATGGCTTGCTGATGGAAAAGTTGAATGATCACTACAATCAAAATACATTGTTCTGAAAGCCTGAATATCCGTTCAAGATTTAATGAGAATCCATCAAGTAGATGGAGATATTTTCTGTGATAAATGAAAGCATTGACGTGTGGGTTTAGGTAAAGTTAAGAGTTTTATTATGTTCGATTCAAAATGCCTTATTGAGACTTTTTTCATTTCTCCTCTCTCCAAACGAAGGATACCTTGATTGAGCATAGACATGCACTGTGAAGACAAGAACAAATGAAGAATAAAAGATTTTAAAAAACTCACTGCTCCTCTCCACCCCAAACTCTTTGCCGCTGAGGATGTGATGCAGCAGGTTTTTCATGCCAAAAGGACTCAGGCTCATCAAGCTCTCAGAGGCCTCCTCCCCTACAAAAGTCACAGAATGTTTGACTTGTAATTCTGATGATCATTTATTTTTATCTACAGCAGTGTGTGTGTATAAGCTTGTTTGCGTTCCCTACCCGAGCAGTGCAGGCTGCGAGCCAGCTCAGTGGCCATCACTTGCATGATGAGTCCGATCCTAAGCCGCAGCATGTCCCCAAACAGAGCCGGCTGGGAGCGCACATACATGGCTAGATAGACCATGATTTCCTGAATTACAAACACACACATACTTCACAGCTGGAAGACAAGTGTCTGAAAGTGTCCTAAAGCTGGCCAGCAATGGAAGATTTACCTGAGTGAGCACAGCGATACTGATGTCCTGACCGCTGGCTTCATAGATGAGACTGTTTAACTCCTCAGGAGGAAGAGGACTGAGGAGAAACAGTGAGGAGGAAAAGGTTGATAATTCAATAAATCCTACAAAGAAACTCTGTTCTTGTTGACAATAACTTTGACTTACACTGTGATGACTCTTTCTCTGGGCTCAGGAGGAAGACCTACAGTCAGCTGCTTGTGATGGGAGATCAGATCTGTGCAGGCCTGAGGAAAGCATCGAATAGGATAGAATTCAAACGATTGAAATCTCATAATTTGTCGATTCTGTAGAGGCCACTGTCTTCACCTTCTCATAAGTCACGACGAGGTCAGTGATTAAGCAGATATCACTATCTAAAGTGTTCGTCAAATAAATATTTAGATTTTAAATGATACATCGAGCCCTTATCCACATGTAGTGTTTTCCAAATAAGTTATGTTGAATGGGGTTGTCTTTGTATCCATCAGTATTCAAGGTCATGATAGAGATACATGGACAAAAAAAAACACCCCAGAGTTCTTTGCTTCTTCTGAACACTTTTATAAAAAACCTGGATGCCATCATGGAATTGGAAACGTACAAATTTGCAAGGCCAATTTTTTTAAATCAGGTCATTGAATGAATTAAGGAGAGAGATAATCGTATTCTGCACATCAGCATATAAACAGGTATAATTGTGGAGTATTTAAGCCATGTACAAAGCTTAGTAGGAGATTTTTTTCTAACATCTGTATATTTCTGTGGATGATAAAATAGCTGGGTAATGAAGTTCTTCTAATGGCCAAAAGATGGTTTTAGAGTCTTTCTTCATTAAGATACGTGATATTTTGAGGCTGTTTGAGGCTGTCTTTTTTTGTGATCATCTCAGACTGGTTGGCAACGTGTCAGTTTTTTTATTTTTATTAGTGTTACATTTAAGGAAGTCTTCTTACTGACCTCAGCAAGGACCTCCACTCTCTTGCGTAGTATTCCAGAGATGTATCTAATGAGACCCCACTCTTTTGAGGCTCCAGCTTGTACATACAGCTCCTCCAGCAGGGAACGTACGCTGACCCCGCCCTGCCCGGGACCTGACAACTCCACCAGCCAATCAGCTCCTCTGGTGAACAGAAGAAGACACAGGACAGGTCATTAGAAAATCACTTAAAATCAGCTGTGTGTGTGTGTGTGAAGAGTTGTGTCTTTTTGCATAGTTTTTTTTTTATTTTTCCATACTTCATTATGTAAAGGATGTAGAGTATGTCGGCCTGGTCCTGCAGAGTCGGACACTCCTTCAGCTGCCTCACCAACGCTACGAAGTCTGTGTTGCCCTGAGAGTCTCGAGGCAGGTGCAGATCAGCAGCACTGTGGGGCTTGTGAGGGAAGTCTGTGTTTTAGACAACTGTGCTTCAGAATAATACTGAAGTCAGAAGAAAACCGGCTGCTCGGAAGGATCTGTGTACCTACCTTGTGCTGCTTTACATTTGAGCTCTGCTGATAATGAGGAACCCCAAGAAGATTAAGAGACCTGCGGTGTTTGCTCTTAACAGGAGTCACAGGTAGATACATGGAAGACTCTGAAGAACACACACACACACAAATTAAAACAAAATATTACCAAATCACATAACAATCTCTTACAGAATCTTCTTATTCATTTTGGCATGGGCTTAAATAGTTAAACATGATTCGAATTGTCCATTTTATGCCCTACTGACATATTTTCTATACTTTGTAGTTGACCAACACAACGGGCTTTAACTTCTCAGCATCAGATGTGAAAGAACAAGGAGAATGAGAGGTTTTACATTTGGTTACAAATCTAGCAGTTTGATCATTGCCATTTTAAGTGTAACATGTCACTGCTGTTGCAAGTATAGGGATGTTGCAAACGACTTCAGATCTAATAACTCAGATACGCTGAGAAATCTGGTGAGATTGAGTTCTCCATTGAGTTGTGTTGGACTGCATTATAACACAAACTCAGCCATATCTCTGAGCTGCATTATTTTTACTTTAAAACGTTATCTTTACATGAACTTAATAATAGTCAACACTATGAAAAGAAGCACTGGTTCAAGAGCGAACAGACTAGATCATGTTGTTTGAAATAGCTCACTGGGTATGTTTATGCCCTTGACCTGGGCCATAAAAGATAGGATGTCTCTGGTTGTGTGTTCAGCACTAAAGACGTGGTGCTGCCCCCTCTGGATGGGAGGTAGATGGCACTTTATGGTGGTGCTGTGAAGGAGCTGGGTGAGGTACTGGTCGAACACGTCTTTTGAGCCCTCTGCAGTTGAAAAAAATAAGCTCCATTACTCACAGTCTCACTCACTTAATCACACATTACAAACAGGACAAAAACATCATTCAATGATGAATACCTGAGGGCCCATATTTGCTATATTCCTCTCCATATTCATCATCATCATCCTCCTCATCCTCCAGGAGGTTGTCATCAATCCCTTCATCCAGGAAGCTGAGGCGAGTGTGGAAAGAAGTCGTCTTGAAACTGGAGAGGTCTGACATCTGCACCCTGTAGGTACATTTAAACAACATAAAATGACATCATGTTTTGGAAGTGTCTCTTCACTGCATTTGTATCACGTAAGAGGAGAAAACAGACCTCGCTCCGGCAAAATATCCATCTTGAAGTTTTCTGAGGGTTGCTAAAATGCATGGATCAATGGCATCTCCGTCTTCATCTAGACAAAAAGAGTAAATAAGTTGTGTTCTCTGAAACATTATTAGACAGAAGGTCAACATGGAGTATGGATGAGATTTCTGCAAGCTGTTGGGATATAAAATAAAATGCTACTTGAGGTCAAACACCAGAAGGTTTCCGTCATCAAAACTCCAGAGCCTTACCCAGCATGCTGCGGGTGATGGGGAAAGTGAGTGTGGGTCGTCCTGTCATCCTCCAGCAGGAAGAGAGATAGGCCAGCTCTGTCCGTAACATCTCTACAATCATCTGATTGTCCAGAGCCAGGTAGAAATGATGCTGATCCAGAAACTGGACAGTGAGCACAGAGAAGGAGAAAAGAGGGGCAGAAAAGAAATAATCAATCAAAGTAATTATTAATGAATTCTTCCTTCCTTCTTCATCATGATTATGATCCTCGCAGTAAGTTTTACCTGTGGGATGAATATATAAAAGCGATTTCGGATCTCGTAAAACTTGGACGTTCCCAGAACTCTGATGTGTCTGTACGGCCTCCCACTCAAATTCAGTTTCTTGCAGTTACCTGGGCAATCACATCAGAAGTTAGTCTTGTTGGTTAAACCCAACCTGTTGACATAAGTGCGTAGACCCTGTTTACCCAGTCTGACGTAGACATGGCTCAGGATGCGGGCAGGCATGACCCTGATTGGCAGAACCTCCGACATCGTCTGCACATTGATCCCATGATCACTTAATAACTCCTGGATCTCTTCGGACTCTGCGAGAACACAAACTAACACACAGAGGTAAAAGTAAAGGACTTCTATGAGAAAATCTGTACAATAAACAACACACCGAACATGTTAGAAATGAAGTCTTTTACATTCTTGATGTCCAAAAGCCAATCTGAGTTAAAGTAAAGCTGTGGCTGATGGAAGTCTGACAACACAGGGTCACACATGAGTAAGGTATTTATAAACAGCTCCTTAATAGAGGATCAGTCCTGTTGTTTTAGCACCAAGAGGAGCAAGGTATAAAATGCAACACTCAAACAAGATTTTAAATTTTTGCCCCATAAGTGGTAAAGATTTACTAACAGGGAACACTTTTCACCCATACACCAAAGTGTTGTTTCCATAGTATAAAAGCCCTTACAGCCTCCCAGGGGTCTTATCCAGGGTCTTCCTGGCAGTTACGATTGAATATCAGGTTTTCTGGAATTCAATGCAACTTCGGGGGTTATGTTTCATGAAACTAGTAAAATGATCACCAACCTTGTACCACAACATCTGGCTTGAAGTTTGTAGAGAATCTCCTGTTGAGAGGATCGATCTCCCCTGGTGCTAAAAAACCCTTTTAACAAGGAAAAAAGCGGCACAGAGAGATTTAATTAAGGCAGAGGAATAAGATGATTGCTTTATGGTAAGTGTATTGCTTACAAAAACACGTTATATATAAATATATATATACGTATGTTTGTGTGTCATTGTCTACCGCAGACATTTAAGAGGAAGCAGTGTTTTTTTTTTACACAAACTAAAATCAATTCTACAATTCACTTAGTAAAAAAAATAGCTGTCCAGTTATACATTTTCTATTGGTGGTGAACAACAGCCCGGAGACTACCTCTGCTAAAAGGCATCCCAAAATGTAGAGCGACTGTCCCCACATGTGTGGCAGCTGCCCCATGGCCACTCTGTCCACTGAGTGAGGATTGCTGTACTCCTCCTCCACCTGCAAAGACAAAAACATGTTCTCAATCGAATGTTTTATATGATACAAAAGGTACAACGATCCAGATGTAATAAGCACTTCCCACATGCTACTGTATTACTGCTGTCAAAGAATATCGTCAGTCAAACAGGAAAGTAAAGAGCTGAAAGATGCAGATTGTTTTATGCTATCAGTATGTAGAAAATAAATAAATAATACAGGCTTGAAACAAAAAGATGAAATATATATTTAAAACAACAAAACGAGACAAAAGATCAGATACATGCGAGGGGAAATGGATATAAAAGACTTAATAAGGCTGCGCACCAGCTGAGCTGTGCTTGGAACTGAGAGCTAGCGTCAGGATGCTAACATGCTCACAGTGATAATGCAAGTTCAGTTGAATGTTGAGCATATGTTAGGGTGTTCTCATTCTGACATGTACTGGTTAGCACAAACATTGAATGAAGCAAAGGCTGATGGGAATACAATTTATTTTTCAAGTATTTATACAAAAACATTTGGGACTAATTTTAACCCTTTGACTTGTTGTTAGCATGGTAGAAAAGAGAAACATGTAACAAGATTGGTATGAGAGAAAATGAGGATTTTTTTTTCCTTTTCAGATGGACGTGGGATACCTTGTCATGCGGTACAGAATAAAGTTCAGGCAGAAGTTTGATGCCATTTTTCCCTCTGATCAAAATGCCCTCCAGCGCCTCACGGTACTCCTGCACCTGTAAAGAGCACACAGACGTTTGTTCAACATTACAGCTGCATTACCCTTCTTCAAGACTGGCTCCTATGCTGTGCTCAGAATACAGTAGTAACCACATAGGCAACATAGTGATTGTTTTTTTATTACCTGCACTTGATCTCCAGAAAAGATACCATCCAGGATGAGATAGGTCCAGAACACAGGCCACTCACACTCGATGTTTTCAAACAGCTTCAGCTCAGCAGGATCGTAGTGCAGCCGGGACGGGTCCTAATGAGACAAGCAAAGACAGCAGAACTCTCAAGCTCAAACTATACAACACAAAATGATCTTATCCATAGAGGCAATTTAACACTGCCAAATGCCCACAATAAGAATAATGAAAATCCTACCTCTTTAGGACAGCGATATCCATCCCTGATGAAGCGGCAGCAGCCATAGCGACCCTTAAATGACACCAAAAAAATGACATTTTTTTATGCCGAGGGATTGGATGCATGTATGTAAAGGGAAAAGCATCCCGATCAATTACACTGTGTGGTGTTTCCCTTCAGATTCATTCACAACAATTGATTTGTGTGCTTAGACTGTACCTGCAGTTTACTTATGATTTCTGACTTAGTGATGGCCACCAGTTCAGCATCCTCAACAGCGAAAGCAGGAAAGGATATAACAGACAGAAGACCAGCGTCTATCTCCTTTGAAGTTGAAGCTCTCGGCAGCATGGAGCACAGGATGGACTGCGGGAGAAGCACACAGACGTGTCAGAGGAAGAATGAAGAGCGGAGACGATGCTGAGGTGGATGGAACGCCAACAGTACCTGACAGTGTTCAACTTCATCAGGTTGAACATGGATGACTGACTTCGGGCCCCCATGGGCACCAAAAAGGTCAAGCTCATCGATGGCTTCCAGCGCTGCCTGTAACCAAATCAACCTCACATTCATGCACTAATAACATTTAAACCCCACTTACTTACTCAGGGCTTAGTATATAATGAATACAAATAAAAAGAATCTCTGGCTTCTGTACCTTAGCAATTCCTATAGAGCTGCCATTGAGCTCAGGGATACCTTGGTTGGTCTTGTCACCTCGCTCCCACATCCCGTAATCCTAAAGGGTGGAAAAATTATGACATCATTCATTACCAAAATGTACAGCCTTTAAGAAACCCCCTTTTCACTACTTCTCCTTTATGAAAGAAAATAGGTACTTTACTCAAGTGGAAGCTGGGATTACTGGTCCAGAACTCAAAGGTTTTTCTACTTTAGTCAAAAGACCCATGAACTTAAACAAAGTTTGCAAACCACTATGAAAAGCAACGGCTGTTTAATCTGGTAAACGACAATGATCTGAAACTCAACCTTAGAAACAAAAGGTGATGCAATACAGAAATAACTCTTGCTTTCAAAAACAACCCTCCTTAAGCTCTGAAAAATGTCACTCACTGCTACTTTGTAGGCCGCCTCGATGTAGAAGACCAAGTTCTGGATAAAAGCCACCTCATCCAGGTTAGAGATGATACGAAGACCTGTGTGATAACATAACACACTCAAGGGTCTGCTTGACAGAAGGGAATGTAACAAAGCAAGGGGCACAGCTCCTCTTTCTGATACAGGTCTCCAGAAATGGTCAAATCAATAACTACACGGGTTGTCTAGATACTATCAACAGAATTTATGTAAAATAACATGAAAACAAATTCTTGAGTCTGTTACTTTAGGGACACACATGAAAAAGTAGCATAGAGTTCATAAAATATATAGACCACTCTGTATCACTTGTGTACCTGAGGCTGTCATCTGTGCCAGCATCAGCAGGTAGATGGATGTGGCGTCCACCTGGAGATGACCCCACTGGTCGTCTCCAACAACAGTGGCACAGGTGGGAGTATCATATTTAGCATGCAAGCAATCCTTTGTGCTCTGGGTGTGTTTGAACTTCTCCACTTTGTCCACCTGAAGATACACAAGCATGCAAATAAGCATACGCAAAATACAAAAGTATTCGGGAGAAGGGAGATGATGCGCAAAGTGTCCCAACGCAGATGTTAATTTAAGGTTGTGCAGTAACATGGGCAGCGTCGTCACCTTTAATGTTTCTTTTTATTAATTTGAGCAAAACACAGTTTCCTTCTCAAATACATGAACACTTATGCTGCATACTCTGCTTTATTCAGGGTGGAATGTGGACATGGTAAACATTGATCTTGTTACTCATGTTCCTGCACAGATGATAAGAAAACATCATCACTGTCTCCTTCACATCGCGGAGGGTCTCAGGAGTCATTTCTTTAAGGTTTCTGATGATGGTATGTATCACAGCGGCAGAGGATGAATCCTCCTGAGCACTGCAGGATTTAACACTGCTGTGAATGTGGCATCTTCATCTTCACTCACAGGTGGAAGTTAAAAGCAATAACATCCCACTCTGTTACAGCAGTCACACTTTAACGATCTCTTTGACTTCAACACGTAGATCACATACTGTACGTTTGTTTTTACAACCTGCCTACTGAACGTTCCCTGAGCTTAACATGCCTATGCAGACTATCAACAGAGATATGAGAAGCAGTATGTATCACACAGGCTGGTAAATTACGCAAATAACCATCATGTGGTTTCTCAAAAACAGGTGCATTGTTGTATAGTTGATATGTGTAACAAAAACGGACGTGTTAACACGTTATAAGATGACAGTTGAGTCTCACCTGTCTCATCATACATTGCAGCAGTCCCTGCATCAGTTTCACCACACTCTGCAAGAAAACAACATCGTCATCAGTCAATCATCAACAACAGCAGAGAAATGTTTATAATCTGCTAATGTATTCTGAATAACACCTAATAAAACGCTGTATGTGGAAAAATATGACATACATTGATAAAATGCTAAATTTCAACTTTATGTTGAGTGGTTACCACCACAGTTCTCCTCCGACTGTAGCCTGCTTTTGTGTTATCTTATCTCATGAAAATGTGATGTGACCTAAATCAAAAGCTAACTGTTCCTAAATAACGCGTACCCACAATAACACGTAAAGCAAATAGTCCCTGTGTGTACACATTAACCCTCTCTCTGTGAAAAACACACCTGCTCCAGTTCGTAGGCCTTGGCCTTGTCTTCATCGCGGTCTGCGTTCTTGCGGTAGGCCATGCCCAGCCCCCACACGGCCAGGACACTGTACACATTATCCCTCACCCAGGCGTCCTTCTTCTGTGTGCTGGCGGGCAGAAGTCCTGTCACTGGGTTCTGAAACAAATACAGACACATACAGCAGGGCTCAATTGTTGTTTGATTTACAGTCGAACCTCTTGAACATATTTTCACTGACTAGCTTCTGTTATTCAGACAAGAGGAGATCTGACATTAAATTAATTGTTTATAGGTTATGTAAGCTTACTTAATTCAGTAAAGTATGCTGTTGGATGTCCTCTTGCTATCCTAATCTTTTTCCATGAATTCTACTTAATTCATTCATCAAGAATCAAGATTATCATTATTTTTAAACATACATACGACTTAAATTTTTATTTAATGAAAGGCTATTTTGGCAGTGTGTTGTAAACTTAAATTAAGGTTGCTTAATTAAATCAATCGGTGTCAGAATGAGTTAAAACGTCTTGCAGTACTTCAAAGGTCTCTGTCAGTGAAGGTTGGTTTTATTTTAAGAAAGGCTGGTGTATTTATAATATCAATCATCATAATTTCTCTTACCCCCCCCCCACCCTAAACATATACTCTTGCACGTAAAGGCTTTGTAAGAATGTTGGCACAGTTTCTATCATCTGTCAACTCTCTGGGTCACAGCTTTAAACTTAGACAGCTGGTGACTGTGCCTCAATGTGAACTCTAGTGTGAATAGATAAAGGGGGCACAGAGTTAGCCTGCCCTGCGCCTTTTTCAGGGGATGAACTTTGCTCACAACATGTTTATTTCTGTTCAGTTCATTCTGGTTGAACATGAAGCTCTACAGGCCGGTAAACATCTGCATTTTTTACATGCTAGAAAGATACTGTCTAAAAACAAAACTAACTACAAGTGCTCTTTGAGAAACTTACATTTGTTTCCATTTTATGTAACTTTAAACTTGTTTTCCACTAAATTTCTGTAGAAAATATTGATAATGTTTCTGCACCAAAAATCTATGAACATTTTAGTGAACAGTTGCTGATTCGGGTTCTTTACTTTTGTTCAATATATTTTCTCAATCAAGTAGTTTTTGCTTGTGGCTTCATTAGTCCACGTTCTTAAAAAGTTATTAACACACTTTTTTGAAAGAATGCAATTATTCTTCTGATCTGTTAAATCCCAAAGTTAATAAACATTGACCACTGCAAGGGAATAACAAATGATTATTGGTAAAATCCAAGTCAACAGAGTTTGTCTAAAAGAGGAGCAAATTAACCAAATACTTGGCTCATAGACTTTAGACCCTTCTGACCAAACACCATGTAGAAAGCGTTTTTTTTCTTGAGTAACATATCTTATAAAGTGTAATCAATGGTGATGTTTCATTATATAATAAACTAGCCATTGATAAACTGTAACATATTAGCCATACCTTTACTACATGTAACATTATACAATATTACTAAATTTCCCCTCGTGGGATTAATAAAGGATAAATTGTTATTAGGCTTACTGATAGATCAATATCAGGATCAAGTTAAATCATATAATACACATTATTCTGAAATGGGCCATGCTGCATAATAAGTACTTTTGAACATGTAATTTTAAATATGTGCACATGAAAGTATCGTTCACTTGTTATAACATGACATTTTCTCCTCTATGTGTGGACTCTAGACTCACCTGGTGGCTCAGGATCGTCTCCTGAACCAGCCGAGCATATCCATCCAGCCTCACTCCTGAGTTACTGCGGCTCCTCATCCTCACTGATTACTGCTTCACACACCACACAACAAGTTTGTTTCTTAAAAAAGTGCACAGCACGGAACGCTGTCTTCCTTTTCTTAAATATGACTACGATACACATCGACTAAATCGCAGAGGTAGCTTACTATGCAGGGATCCATCCTTGTAAGTCCTGCAGCACAGATCCGAACTGACACCTTCTGCAGAGGCTGCAGCAGCTCTGCTAAAGCTGGCTAGCCGAATAACATCCGGATGTTTTTGACGTTGCGTTGCACTCACAGCGTCATTTTACCCTCAGACAGCCAGATGTTCCGGTCTAACGACGACATGTTTAAAGTCAGACCTTACAGGTGTCAACACATGAGGTATCACCTGCAGAGGTCCGCGTGAGGGGTGTCTATTTACGTAAGTGTCCATCCATTCTGAAAAAAACAAAAAAAACACATATAATAGTCCTGTTGTTTGATTATCGGACGGCAGGGTGCGCCAAACGACCTTTATATCTTCCCTTTGCAAAGGATTCGAGGCCCGATTTACTTGTAATGACTCATTTGTGCCCCTTTATACATTTTCCATACTGCATTTAAGAAAACAAATATTGTACCTATTATGCTTTATTTATTTCAAGACTCGAGTTTCTGGTCGCTTTACATAATTTACCAAAGCACAATAAATCAGTTGCTGGCTTATATGCAAAAAAATCACATATTTTATAAACTTTTTTGGTGCTTTGTTTAACTTTTAGAAATTATACATATTAAAAATACTTCTTTAAATTAAAAAAAACGTAATTCAAGATATGAATCTGCCCCAATTAATGTAGCTACCATATTTTCTTCTACAATTTAAATTATAGAGGTTAATGCATGCAATGTAATGTATGTAACTAATGAAAGCTATTAGTTATTTCCTGGTATTACGTTTGTCTTTACGCTCTTTATTGGTGTTTAAAACTGTAAGTTGTTGTGATTCGTTGTTGTTTTCTTTATGTTTTGTTTTTTGGGGTTTTTTTTTTTAAATTGCTTTGCTACAAAATAAACAAAAGTGAACAACACCGGTAAAGTTTTCGTGAAAGGTTGACGGAGCTGCCTGCTAGGGGGCGACGTCACGAATAACGGAATCTATCAGCCAATCAAATGTCCTGGCTGCGGCTTTTGGACCAATCACAACGCCGTTTTCCTGTAACGCTATCTCCCCAGCAAACACCAATCCAGCTAGTGGTTTAGCATCAGGCTGGCTAAGAAAGCTAGCCTCCTGAAACAGAAAGTGACCATTCACAGTCTTTGTTTTATGTGTTTTTTTGCTTAATTTACCTGAAGTTATCAGCCGTATAAGGAACTAAATCGACGGCCCGGTCGAAGGTAACGTGTCGTGTTGACTTCTCTTGTCTGTTGTAGCTACTTTAGTGGAGAGGGGGGGGGCGCGAATGACAGTAAACGTGTTGTTGATGTTAAGATGTGGACATTTAGCAAGTGTAGCTAACATAGAGTCATTTTACGTTTCCCCTGCAAGTAAAAGTCACCTAATTATCTATTTGTTTAAATAATGATCAGATGGTTTCGTCGTGTTATCCTCGGGGGGGAAAAAATGCATCTTTTCTCCGACAGGGCGTTTCTCACTCAGTGTAGCTTCTGCATTCATTTAATATCATGCAAACACAACAATAATCATAAATGTAAACACTATTGCAGATGGCTAAAACGCTCATCTCATAGTGCTTTTCTTCACCTCGTTTTCATACATCAACCTTTTAAAGCGTTTGACTAAATGTGTGTTGCATTCAAACCATTAATCACCTTTAACTTCACCACCTCCATCAGATGCAGTTCATGCTGCTGTTCAGCCGGCAGGGAAAGCTGCGGTTGCAGAAATGGTATGTGCCTCTGTCTGACAAAGAGAGGAAGAAGATCTCCAGAGACTTGGTCCAGACGATACTGGCCAGGAAGCCCAAGATGTGCAGCTTCTTGGAGTGGAGGGACCTCAAGATCGTGTACAAAAGGTGAGAGAATAACTTTTTTATACTTTATTGTCCCCCAGGTGATATGAACAGAATTGTTTGGAGATGCTTTTTGCTTTTTTCAAACATTGTCAGAAACTTTCCTAATGTCCGGATGAGGTCTTCAATGTTCTTACTCTTTTTTTTTTGACTTGGTTTGAAACTCACTTCCTAACACAATCCTTCTAAATTAAGGTCTTGCAAAATCTAATGACGAGTTCTTTTATCATGCTGACGGATAAAGTTCATTCCTTACAATGGGATGAACAGTTTGACATGATGTACCACCTCCAGATTCACTTTGAGGTCAACAGAAATATGTTTTTTTTTAGTTGTCATGTCGATGGTTTAGTTGTTATTAGGTCACATGATAATAGAGGAAGAGACTTCACATATGGCATTTCTCTTTTGAAGAAGACTGTGGTTGACAAAAATCTAGAAAATAATGGCATGTAGACCTTGTGGTCTTTTAAAAACAGTTCATGGTGGTCTTCATTGTTGACTTTCCAGATGATTTACTAATCCGATGTGTTAATTGTTTATTTGGCTTGTTTAAGGGCTTGTTTGGGAACACTAATGATTCAGTGATTTTTTTTTTCAAACACTTAAATTTCTGATAATTAAAGTCATCTTCTGATGTGTTCTGATGAAAGCCAGAAACCCCACCTCTCTAATAACAACACACAAAAGCAATACAGCAATACAAATGTACACAGATAGATTTATGTCTGGAAAACTGGACTGCTGAGTCATACAATGAAGGACAGACACACCATCATGTGTTCAGTGTAACAAACAAAAACGAATAAATAGAGACAAATAACAAGACCGCCTCAGGCAGTGTTGCACAGTGCTGCAGTACTGGAAGATCTGTGCACCACTAACAAAATGCATCGAGTTATACACGCTTTATTTGGTACACCTTCTCAATCTAATGCAATCAAATGAACATCCCTGCAGTCAGTCCTATCCATGATAAGGCATCAATATTCTTTTTGGTCGCAGAAGTTGTTACCTTTTAGTGCAATTTCATCATTTTTAAGTTGATGGAAGGGTTTATTTGTTAAGATTGTTTGAAATGAAAAAATACATGGATTTTTTACAGTTTAGATACACAACACCGTAGCCAACAAAGAGAAACCATATTTACCGTAAGAAAGGAAAAGCTTGTTATTCAGTAAGTACATTTAATATGAGTTTTAAGCCCTTTTGCCTCCATGTTATCTCTTCATTGAAAATCAATAATATGGGGGGGGGGGGGATTTGGGATACAGGAAAGCACTAATATGCCCCCATTTCTTTCATAAAATTGCTCCTAATAGAGCACAGGCCCTGACATTTGTAACATTAGTAACATGATTGGCTTTTGAATGGATGCCCTGCATTTTCTTGAGCTCTCTTTTCATTTCTGACTTTGTTGCAGATATGCGAGCCTGTATTTCTGCTGTGCAGTCGAGGATCAGGATAATGAGCTGATCACCCTGGAGATCATCCACAGATATGTGGAGCTGCTGGACAAATATTTTGGCAGTGTGAGTCTCTGTAATGGCATTATGCTGAAAGATTGTGTGTGTGTGTGTGTGTGTGTGTGTGTGTGTGTGTGTGTGTGTGTGTGTGTGTGTGTGTGTGTGTGTGTGTGTGTGTGTGTGTGTGTGTGTGTGTGTGTGTGTGTGTGTGTGTGTGTGTGTGTGTGTGTGTGTGTGTGTGTGTGTGTGTGTGTGTGTGTGTGTTGAAAGTTTTCTGAATGAAGCTCATGTCAGGATCAGCTCTGATCTACTGCTGTCGATGTGTTTTGTGATCTCACAGGTGTGTGAACTGGACATTATCTTCAACTTTGAGAAGGCCTATTTTATCCTGGACGAGTTTCTGCTCGGCGGAGAGGCCCAGGAGACGTCCAAGAAGAACGTGCTGAAAGCCATCGAGCAAGCTGACCTGCTGCAGGAGGTAAGTGCCATTCTTTATCAGCAGATAGCTGAACCAGTGAGATCGTCATCAAAATAATGTGAGATAAACAGTATGCACTGTTGGTTGTCTTGCCGTTCTGAAATTAAGGGTATAGACAATGCCCACCTAATGTTTTCAAAAACCAAAATGTTTTCAGAAAAGCGTATTTTACCCGATCAACAGTACAGATCCAAATGATTTAAAATGTGTTTTCATTCAAGAAAAAGAAACAAAGCAAGTCTATTTATTTCATAAGCTGTATTCATGAAACACATTATATATTTGCCTTAAAAATAATAATGTTAACCATTATAAGAGTTATAGCAGATTCATTTTCTGGTGATTTTAGATCCTATTTAGAGAAAGGACAGTGGATAGAGTTAGATATTGGGGAGAGAAAGACATGTGGGGAAGGAGCCTCAGGTCGGATTCAAACCTGGGTCATCCGCTAGCCTCCGTACACTGGGCGGGCGCACTAACCACTGGGCTACTGGCGGCCCATTCACTAAACAATTTAAATATAAAACCAGCCAGGGGGGACATATTCTCAAATTGATGCACTAACTAACTAACTGGTTCATTTATGCTTGCAGTGTTTAATACCTCAGTGTGCTAAAGCAAGTATGTATCTGTATTCATTTGCAGTCAACAGAATCGGGGCTCAGTGAATTCTTTTTCTGCAGGGTATGCAGTAGTATTGTTTCAGCAGCCTGGCTGACTGTGCAGGCCTGTCAAAAGTTAACGTCACTGGAAAGGCTTTTAGGACGTTGCATTTATAAATCATGTACTTAAATAACTGTTTGGAGAGGGGACTTTCTGCCACCGTGTAACAGGATGATTTTTGACGTTTTTTGATTGGTATTTCCTTCATCTGCAGGAGGCTGAGGCACCACGGAGCGTCTTAGAAGAAATTGGGCTCACATAAACCATCTTTCTGCTGCTGCTGCTGCTGCTCTGCAGTTCTTTCCTCCAGATTCACATCTGGAAATGTCCATGTCTCTATCCTGTCTTCACCCGATTGTGTCAGTGTTGTATGTATAAAATCACCTCCCTTGTACTGTGTTTCTTTACTGTACTATCCCGTTATGTGCTTTGAATGTGGTGCCAACTGTGGTTTGATGTGTTCCCCATGTACAAGCTCCCTCACTGTAGTATCCTGTACTATTGGCAGACATGACTCCCTTCATTTAAAAAATCCTACAGAGAAAAATGTAGCAAAGACATGAAAACTCTAGCCTCATTTCAAGATCATCCGTCGTCACAGATAGCAGAGCCGTGTGTGCTGTTTGGTAGACAGGACTTTCTGAGGTGCTGCTTCAGCTGCAGTTGGTGCCTCTGGTGGATTTCCGTCATGTCAAAGTCACAGTAGAGCATTGATTTGATCAATAACTGATCAGCAGATTCACCCCAAAGGCCATGTTCACAATACTTACAGCTTTTCACAAAGGCTTAGCAAAGTGTTGTTATACGTTCATCAAGATAAAAAAAAAAAAGTTGTGTTAATATAACTGGGTTACCCTTCATTGTAACCATGGTAGGTGGAAAAGACAAATGCAGTACAATATTGCAAAACCATCAAAGTAGCAATCAAGTAGCCGTACCATTTTCAGCTGAAAGAAAGAGGCACAAGTTGTGAAACAGACTCAAAAGTCTTGATCATGCAGTCTTTTAGAAACACATTTGAAACAGTGTTTCTAAATGATATACATTCATAGGAAAAAAAAAACAAGATTGGGTGTTTTTCAGATGTTTAGATGTTCAGTCTGTATGAGCCGTAACACACTAGAGTCATCGACTGGGGCTAAAGCTGTTGAAGGAATCACAGACACTGTTACAGTCACTTACACACATGTAGAATGAACCCACCAATCAACTGACATTAAACGATTGCCCATAATCCATATCAGTGAGAGCGTTGTGCATCTTTGTTGAAGTTTCTGTTTGGCGATTTCATCCTCAGACCTTTTTCATATTCACCTTTTTCAAGACTAGTTGAGCTGTTTTAGTGTTATTAGTGTTTCGTTTGGTAAAACTGTCAGTGTCATCCGAACTCTGTTGACTGATTTTGTTTACACAGAAATTGTAATGAATAAATCTAAGGTTAGATCTCAGTCTGAAGAGACTATATTAGGTATTATAATACTTTTGGCTCAAATCTTGAAGACTAACATGACCAAAGAACACTGTGTTTTACCTTCTTTATGGAAGGCGAACATGGCAGCAAAGGGATTAAGAACTGCACGATGTCTGAACAAATGTATGTGGGGTTATTTGGCCACAATATACCAGTATTGTAATCATTGCAGTCGTTCTTTTCTCTGAAAAAAACGGTCCGAGTTTCTTTATGAAGTAGGAACTGAAGAGTAACTGCTCATATCAGGGTTTCCATTATTAGTATTCATCTCTGTTGACTTTTTCACTTTGCTGCAATGAAGCTGGAAAACAAGGCAACCAGTACATATTCCTCATCCCCCCGATGGTGTGGCAGTCCTATTTTTTATCCTCATTACTGAACCCACAAAGTGTTTTGGTTGGACATCATGTTTCAACAAGTTTATTTTTGATTTGTGAAAAAGAGGAAATCACTTTTTGTATTCAACACTGCCAACACATTATGCCAACTTTGTTTCTTATATTTGAAAATTATGAACAATAAATGTATTCAAAAAGAAAACCCAATGACTCATTTGTTCCTTTTTTTGTTTTTACTGAGCAACAACAACAACCTTATAAAATATTCACATACTCTATGTATGTATCAATCATGGCTGCTAACTAACTTTATCGATGCACAGTTGTTTCTCATTCACATATTTAGAAGGGAAAAAGCAGAATAAATCTAACATAGATGTGTTCAAATCACCTTTTCCAGCTGTCTCATGTTTCTGTCTTTAACTCCTCACTTTTGGTTGACCCTGATGAAGGCCACGAGCCGAAACGCGTCTGTCTAAATAGTTAATAAAGTTGATCTTACTACAAGTGTTGCTGGAGCATTTTAACCTCTTCTAACTCCTCACTTTTAACAGAAGGACTGAACGTATTCTCCCTGTCAACATGTGGACTTTCATCCACGTCATCGTTTATCTGAATCTGCTCCGTGATGTTTATCTCCCGACTGCGTCTGGCTGCATCCACATTCTCTGTTGTATCGTCCTTTGACTCTTTCTCCTTTTCTGACTCTTCAGAGAGCTTGTCCCTTCAGCCACATGGTTCTTCTTCTTCTTGCTTTTCTTCTTACTCTTCTTCTTGCTCTTTTTGGACTTTTTGTGGCGGGCACGGCCTGTGTTTGTATCGTCTTTCGGGGTTGCCTCGTTTTTATCCGGTTTCTTTGGGCTTCTTTCTGTACCCTGCTTGTTTCTCACTCCCTCTGTGCTTGAGCTTCTGGACCTTTCTTTAGTTCTTCTCTGAGTGTCTGTATCTCTGTCTCTACTGTCTCTCTCTTCACTTATTTTCCTCTTCTTGTGCTCTTTCTCTCTACTCCTGTTCCTCTGCCTGTCTCTCTCTCTGTCTCTACTTCTACTCCTCGACCGGTCTCTGCTTCTGCTGCGATACCTATCATTCCTCCGCTCACTTTGCCTGGACCTGGACGACCATTGGTCCTCTCTGTGCTGATTGGAGGTCCAGCTTTCTCGACTCCTCTCTCTGCTCCTGCTCCTCCGCCGGTCGCCGTCTCGCCTGCTGTGAGATCTCTCCGATCTCGGTGGGCTTCTGCTGCCGTGACGTTGCCTCCAAGATCGTTCTCCATATCGTTCTGAATGCCACCCGTCTCTGCGGCTCCTACTGACGGTGCGGTCTGGGGACAGGTGCAGGTCCCGGTCAGCCTCCCAGAATTCATTGCCAGGGTTTCGAAATACATGCAGGAAGTTACAGTGCTTCCCTTTTGGACACTTCTGTCGGTCAAACAATCCTTAAAGAGGAAAACCAAAAACAAGTAAGATTGTGAATCTGGATTTATGTCTCTAATGATGAGTCAAATTGAATTTCCTCTCTTATATCTTTATCATTATATAACTCACCACAAATTGCATTCTTCCACCTTGTAACAGGACACATCTCACACTGAAGCTGCCGGCCTGCATACCACCTCCCATTAAACTTTATAAAGGCTTCTTTACACTGCTCATCTCTGGACGGACAACAAAGAGAAGAGAGAACAAAGGAAAAGTTTTAACCCTAAGATGTAAACATTGCAGAATTTATTCATGTGGGAATAGGCATGGAGTGGTTGCATGATGCTTACGTGTCAAATTGTATGTACACATTTCCCCTCAGATGTGGTTCGTAGTTGCAGCTGACCTTAAAAGAAAAGGTGAGACTTTTTTGTATTCTTTGTGTCAATGATTGATTATTTTGACCAGTAAATGGGGACATTGTGGGACTGTTTATGAGCAGTGATTGTTGTGAAAACCCTGTGGGTTACAGGGTGAAATCTCACAGGAAGCCTGGTACTGAAGTGCACTTTTACACCCTGACTGTCCTGATCTCGCCCTACCTTGAACTGTATGACCTTGCCGACACTCTTTAACTCTGGTAGGACATCATGGTAGAACTCGAGGAAAGACTCCTGCAGTTCCTCCTCGCTGTGTTCCAACCAGGCGTCAATGTCGTAGTCATCGCGGCGGGACTCCTCCATACCAAACGTTATGAACATGCTGCGGATCATCAGGGTCGGGCTTGATGTGGGATAAACGTGCTTCCGTGAACACCTGCTCTCATTAAGAGACAGAAAGAAGGAAAAGGGAAATGAGCAGTCACATCTCAAATACGCAAGTCAACAAATTTGAAGTGAAAAGTCAAATTAAAAGAGAAACAAAAAGCACCTGTCTCCAAATCGACAGGCTCCAGTTTTAAGGAAGAAAGGACAGTTGGCGACGTCTCGCTCTGTCCCAAAGTTGTCTGAGTTTCCCGCCGCAGGAGCCTCTGGATTCATCCAAGGTCCTTTATTTTCTAACTGGAAGTCAGGAAGGAACAAGAGATTATTTTTCTCCTGCATAGTTGGACTTGAGAATGATGCGTTGTTGACTTAACAAGTGTGGCCAGAACTAATCAAATCAACAGAGTTATAGGTGCACAGATAAGTCAAAGATAGTCCAATGTTCAGTGCTTTAAGAAGGAAAAACTGTGATTTAGACACATATTCTGAGAAGGAGCTAATCTATCTTTGTACTTCTGATAAATAAAACATTTAATTTTGCCTATTAGGAAACATACACCACATAAAATGATCTGAAATAAGCTCATATAGTCTGATATATGAGCTTGGCTGCTTTTTTGTTAGGCCCTAAAATGGCTATTTATATAGCAGAGACACTTTTCCATGTTCCACTGTTCTTTATGAGAGAGGTGTAACTGTACTTGAAACAAATATGTATTAAACTGAGTTACATGCTTTTAGAATACACAGGGGTAGGCAGTAGAATACACAATTTAATAAACCCAGTGACTTAGACAGTCGGACACAGCGTTGTTTCCCATGGAGTAAAAAATATAAAGTAACGACGAGTCTGAAATAAACAAATATTTCTGCCACCAAATGCCAATTCTTGACCTCAGTATTATTTTGACTCTAAAAAACTGAAAAAAGACAACAATAGATTGAATATAGTAGTATGATTTTACCTGATTTTCAGCTTCATCCAACATTTTCTGAACTGCTTCCTACAAATGGTGTAAAGAAACGGCTGGTGAAATTGAGTAGAGGTCAACATACTGCAGCATCTCTGTTACCGTGTGTTAAGACCACATTAACAAGGATTCAAAATGTCTGTACTTTTGGGAAGCAAATTCAGGGACTGTGTTGACACAAAGTAAAAGATACATTCTTGTAGTGACAGCTGAGAGGGTTTTTCTCTTTGTGTGCATCTTAGTTAAGGAGGAGTTGGATGGTCGTTTGTGCCACTCAGTCAAGGAAATTTACATAGAACCATGTACAAGGCAAAAACACATTTGACAGAGGATACACTCAGCGTCAGAGAAACTTCTATCTTTACAATTGTATGAATCTTTCCTTTAAAGTTAGAATACTTCAGATTAAATAGAAGAGGATATATTTCTTTTGTTTCTATCCTCCCAGGGCCCGTTTCACCTCTCTGCCTCGCCTCTCCTGCTGTTTCTGCTCTTTTTCTTCTTCTTCTCTTTTCTGCTGGGCCTCCCATTCTTCTTTGATCATCCGCTGTTTCAACAAAAACACACAAACACAGAGAATATTAACATTTCAGTTTGTCTAACACCTCAGCACATGTGTGCACGTTAAGTAGCTCATAATTATGCAACACAGCAACCTGCCTATACTGATGGTAGTTGACCCGCGTGTCAAGCTCCGCTGTTGATGTAATAGGGGAGTACATTTTGAATTATCTTTCGTAGCTGACAAAGCGTTCAATAAGACATTTATGAGATGATGAGATGAGATGAGATTCAACTTTATTGTCATTACACATATACAAGTATAGAGTAACGAAATGAGGTTTGGCATCTCACCAGAAGTGCAAATAAGCAGATTTATGGAAGTAGAATCATGAAAAGTCTTGTTGAACCCTACATAGTGATGATGTGGCTTCAGGAATATGGACATTTTCATCACAGTTACTAGTAGTTGCTTGTTGTGATTAAGTTATTTAAAACCTGAACATGTGCCTATGACTGAAGCAATGAGAACCTAAGACCAGTGGAAAATGTTCTGAATTGTACTTCCTGATTTACCTCCTCTTCTTCTTTTCTTTTCCGTGCAGCTTCCTCCTTCTCCCACCTCAGCCTGAACTCCTCCTGGGCAATCCTTTCTCTTTCCAACCACTCTTCATGTTGACACAGTCTTTAAAACACATGGCAGACACAAACATAACATAAAGATTATTCAAATCTGTAAAATGTAAATGTTTGATTCTGTTCATCCCAAGTGGAACAACTGCAGGAAAAGGGATTGACAATAGCCCCATATAAACTGCCAGTTCAAGGCAGGACCTTCATGCCCCTGTAATGTCTCGCCTTCAAAGTAAATGTCATAGAGGGGTAATGGACTAAGTCGTCCCACCACTGTGCCAGCATTGTATGTAGTAACAGTGGCGTTACAGGGGCAAGAAGGAATCACCGTAAAACAGCGGAGCCAGCAGGGTGGAAACAGCCCTCTGTATGTCTGCATTTCTCAGAGTGTGTGTATGTAAAGCTCCTGCTGCTTGATTATACATCATGCTTCTTCCAAAAAAATATATATAAACACTATTCCAAATCACACACTGAGACACCAACACTAGGCTGTTGCAGAATCAATATAATCACATAATGATGGCGACGCTTTATTACGGCACTGTTGCATCCTTGCAATTAATAAAAGAACTAATGAGCGTCGACCTACCTTTCCTGCTCAGCAGTATTATCATCCTCATCATCCACCTCATTTAGTTCCTCCTCCTCCTCCTCCTCCACAGGCCCATTGCTAGCTCCATTGTTTAAACCTATAACAGAGAAATGTTGTGCAGGTAAATGTTTGAAATAAACCAGTTTTATATTTCAACAAACGCTCAAACATGTCAGTAATCAGTCGTACCACATTCTCTGGCCTGGGCGACAGCTTGGCGTTTCCGTTTTCTTCTTTCTTTCCTCAGAGCTGCCTTACGTTGCTTCTGACTAAAGTGGAACATTTATGAATGAAAACAAATTTATCAAAGTTGTAAAAAAAAAAAAAAAACTTTTTAGGTGAATGTGCTTTTAAGTATGCAGACACAAGGTGAGAGGGGGTGTTGAATGAAACCTGAGCTGCGATTTGGTCAAGTACAGGTAAAAGTAATAACCTTTTGAATTCCTAAATAAGAACAATGTAGTGTTAGTTCTTTGTGCTTCACAGATCATCTGTTTAAAAGCTCAAAGGTTGGATGTTTCTGGTTCAAACATCATTACTGGCTGACACGAATGCAATGGAGACAGGAGGATGACAGACACTCTCCAGGAAGTACTGATGTAATGAAACAACAACAATCATGTAGTCACATAACTAAAAGCAGCCTGTACTTCAGTATACTTTCAGATTGTAGTAATGCCCTGTTAGTTCAGCTTTACCAGGCAGTCAGTGGTTAGATTAGGTAACACTGAACAGGTAATAATGGGGGGAAAATTGAATAAAATCTGAATTTAATTTGAGAGAAAACTTCACAAGTAGTGAAAACATAATGTTACTGTGCTGCAGGTCTGGAAACATTTAATCACATTTATACAGATTTTACATCACTTCAGTCTTCCCCCCGTCGATATTAGATTATAAAGTTATCTCGAAAAGACACAGACCTTAAAACAAGAGTTGAAATCTGTGGAGTTGATGCTGCCATCCCAGCTAACGAAACATAGCTAGTTAGCACCAGAACACAACAAAGCAGTAGTTAATGTTTCTTATCCGCATTCAGCTCACACATTAGACCAAATGGACTCTGACTGCTTTCGTTGTATGCCGGCTTTATTTGGTGTATCGGAGTAATAGCAAAAACGAATATTCTCTACTTGCTGGAAATGTTAGCTAGGGGCATGTGGCTACTGAGTAGTAGCGGAAGAGGTGTGATACCAATCACTTCTTCTTTTGGCTTAATGGCGGTTGGCATGGCAACCAGCTTGAATGCGCATTACCGCCATCTACTGGACTGGAGTGTGGAACTAGCAGCGCATTGAAAAAATTATATGCACCTATTATTATTTTTTTTATTTTTTTTTAAATGTCACTAATTCATTGTATTTTTCTCCAGTTCCCAGAATATTCTGTGCAGTGTAGTAAATATTTAATGGTTGGAAATTTTCCCTTCCTCCTCTCACCCTCATTAAACTGCAATCAATTAAAACATGGGAGTTTGTGTTTGAATTTCAATGACGATAAAAAAAAAAAAGTGTACATAGTAAAAACAGTGTTAAGGAACACAGACCCATTTGAATGATTTTATGATTTTATGATTTTACTAGCCGACCAATTGGCAAAAAGGCATTGAACAGAAACCTTAGTGCCAACATCAAAGCATTTTTTTTTTTTTACCTAAAAAGAAACTTTACAAAAAAATACAACAAAAATAAGTGTTGTTAAGTAGTTTGAATGCCATACAGTCCTAAAGAAAAACTGTGATACAATGGGTGCCTTCCGGTGCTAACTTGTTTTTTTTACTTTTTATGCTCACATTTTCACAATAAGCAAAAAAAAAAAAAAAAAAAACATTCATGCATGACTACACAAACTCTGACACTGGAATATTTTGTCATTTTTCCAATAAATCCACTAAACTGTCATCAAGTTGACTAGAGGCAAATTCTCTCCAAATGCAAAACTGCTAATAACTGCAAACTTTAGCCCTTTAAGTCAGGCATCCTCATCATCCATGGCACTCTCTGTTATTCAGTCTTTTTGTCCGGTGTTCGCCTGAGGAAGAAGGCAGACCTGGTGCAGCAGCGATAGCACAAAGCCTGGGGCACCAGAACATACAGGACATTGACTAGCAAGAAGACCAGCTGGCTGTCAGCAGGCACTCTGTAGGAGAACGGTGTCCGTGTGTGAAGAGACGCTCCAATATGAGAAAACTGGGCCTGTGAAGAGAAGCAGAGAGGGTGAAAGCTTCACAATTAGTTTAGTCACGAAAACAGGGTTATTGTTTTCTCAGATCACCATCATGAAGATGAACTTTTTCTAGCCTACTTGATAGTAGTTGATCAAAGTCCTCTCAATAGCAATGGTTTAAATGACTGTAGTTTCACAATATTTTCACATGTAGTCAGGCCATCATTGAACAGTTCATACAGGGTAAGTAAAAGGGTTGTTGTAAAAATAGAATAGAATCAGGGAACATATGTTTGTTCCAACTTATTCTCATGTATTTTCCAATTTACAGTGTTCTGTTTTTACTCACTGTTTCATAGAAGTCACAGAAAAAGAGACACAACATGTCTCATAGCAATCAGGGCTGTCAAAGCATCAGCTTGCCTATTTATAGCCTGGCAGAACAGCTGACATTTAAGTGAATACCTCCAATACCATCATTCCTCTCAGTCTGATGTCAGCTTCTGCCCCTGTCCCGATGATGAGTGACGCGCTGGCATGCAGTTTGAGCACAACGGCTGCTTTGTATTTTTGAGATTTGATGCTGCACTATCTGCTTCAACCCATTAATAGAGTTACTTTTTTAAAGATGAAAACAGATATTGTGTATGGCATTGATTCAGACCATATCTGGCCATGAAGAACTAATGGTGACAGCACATTATAAACAGAGAGTAATCTCCATTATCTATGAATAAACTTAGGGGTCAGCCAATCAGATTGTTAATTTCTTTTAAATACCAGGTTTATTTGACAGCATAGTCATTTATAGAATGTAGTTAGAGAGCTTCCCTGCACTGTTCAAATCAAAGCTTGTTTTGTTGGCACTGCCATTCAGATTCATATTCCAAATGCAGGGTGTGAGATTTTAATTTCTGGAAAAACATACAGAGAGCTACAATGTTTCACAGTTAAAAAAAAAACATTTGTTACATCAATTGAAATAAAAAGGCTTTGTTCAATAGCTTTATGGTGCTCTTATATCCCTTAACATTGTCTTGGTGTAATCTTATCTTATGGTGTTGGGTCGTGTCTTGTCTTGTTGTATAGTATGGTATGGTAAATGGACTTGAGAGCTTGTATTGCGCTTTTATAGTCTTCTGACTACTCAAAGGGCTGTTACATCACATGTCACACCTACCCATTCACACACTGATGGTGGAGGCTACTTTGTAAAGTGACCATCAGAAGTAGCTGATCCCATTCATAAACATTTGCACGCCGCCAACAAAGCTGCAGGAGCAACTTGGGGTTAAGTTCCCCAAACACCCAACCTTCCGGTTGTCTCTATCAACTGAGCCACAGCCGCCCATATGGTATGGTATGGTTTGGTTTGGTATGGAATTAGCCTACATAAATCATATTGGGAAGTAAAGAGTCGTATCATATAGATACAGTATTGTATCATATCAAGTCAGTTTTATTTTACTTTCTTTGATAAGTGATAGCATTGTGGAGTAAAACAGAACCTTTAACTGTCAAGACTTAGTTTTTCCTAGTTGGTAACCAGCAAAGAGCAAGGAAGAACCTGCAGGACGTACCTGTGCCAATGCTCCTGAGTGCACCAGAGTCAGGTCTGGAACCCATTCACAACCAGGAACCATCAGCCCATACAGAGTAATGATGTAATATGGTCCAGAGTACAGCATGTTCACCAGCATCTAGAGATGGTTGATACATTGTATCACTTCAACAATGTGTTTATGGCATTGTAAGGTTGGAAGTTTGGTGTTCTGCTGAGCTACCTGCACTTTAGGATAGGCCGAAGGGTCTTTCAGGTATGGTTCATATTGTCGTGTGTACTCTTGACACCAATCACTGGAACAGTCAAGAACAATCTGAAACACAAGCACGGGGAAATACAGAGGAGGCCTACATAAAGAAATGATTCTACCACATTGTGGGCATCGTGCATTTGATCATGTTATGCTTTCTTACCAGGCCCCTGAAAACACAGAAAGCGAAAGCAGGGATAAGGTAGATGATGAACAGTAAGTCCAGAAGTCTGTGGAGTAAACTTTTTCTTTCAGCCTCCCGATTGTTCTGAGAGAAAGCAACAAACATGTTCAAACATGGCTCTATATCACATAAGCTGGTATTGACATGTGTGGTTTGGCTTTTAAAGAATATATGATGCTGATTCTTTCTGAAAAAATAATCCACAAAGCTTGGATTGATAAGAGCTGGGACAATATTTGTAGTCCTGTAGTGGAGTGGAAATTAAACCATGTTTTCAAGGAGGACTAAAGGCAGGTGTAGGACTAAAATATTATAAATCATAGAGACACAAAAAAAAAACAATAAGAGTACCAATACCCTGCACAATATGTCAAGAACTTGCTACCCATTCCCTGATTCTTTTAAAAACAAGGTACTTGGCTTGGATATGTTTTGTGTAGCTCTTTTAGTATTTCCTTGGCAGTTCCCCTTTTCTGATGATGTGTGTGCCTGTTTCAATTTCATCAAGTGAATTGCTTCACCTTCCTTATACTTACTTCATCAACTTCTCTCCACTTTTAAAATTTCCTCACATGTAACAGTCGACAGACAATGTGGGAATCTTGCTTAATATTATTTAACTGCCATTCTTGATCCTGACTTACCGTCAGCTGAACATCCCTTATGGATGGCTGGCTGAAGATGCAAAAGCAAGCCCAGACGGTGACTGAGATATACAGCATGTGGAGGAGGAACAGAGGACCAACGTGAGTCCCGTATTTCCCTGTGAACAACACAGCCAGACAACATTTCACTTTGTGAAAACCGCCACACCAAAATGACTATTAGTTCATATTAGAATATTAAGGTATAATAATATTCATGGTTTTCCATTTGTGTGTAATTCTGGTTTACAAAATGTATTGGAAAACTATGGGAGGGGTTTCATTGGTTACACTACAAAATGCTTTCTAAAAGCATCCAATTATTTTTAGTGTACTAACCCACAGCATTCCCAAGAATGTAGACTATGGCACGCATGAGAAAAGATCCCACCCAGTAAAGTCCAATGGCTCTGTAACTGTCCCTGTGAGAGAAAAAAAACATGTACCATTGATAGATAGATAGATAGATAGATAGATAGATAGATAGATAGACAGATAGATAGATAGACAGATAGATAGACGTGTGTATAATGCCGCTCTTACCCCCATGTAATTGCAGCAATCATGAGCAGATACATGAGATAGTGCACACAGCCGTCCCAGAACGAGATCATGTGCCCATGTGCTGTATTTATGTGTGGATCTGCCTGAAACATAAGGAAAACGTATCAGTACAAAATTGTGAGAGACTTGTTGACATCTACAGTAATCAGAGCATAGCACTTGCCTCTTTGAGATAAAATGTCACAAATCCATCAATGATGTTGTCCTGCTCCAACCCGATGATCAGATTCACAACACTGAGGAAAGCATGCACTGCAAACACTAAACAGATAGATTCATGCATTTAATGTGTTATTAGACGAGACAAATGACTGAAAAAAACTTGTGGTGTTCTCAACGTAAAGCCAAGAATGAAAACATGTTTCTTTTCTTTTTTTCTTCACATTTAACCAACCAAATAGGCCTACTCTAAAAACTCACAAAACATGCATTAACATAAAAAAACTGAATATGCTGACAGAACATAAACAATCCTTGCTCATAATGTTAAGTTAAAAAGTTTTCTACAGAAAGACGGCTAAAAATTAAAATAAAGAGAAAAGGGAAAGAAAGTGCATTTTTTTTTATCATACCATAGAAAACAGGATCTACTGGAGCCTTCTTTTTGAGTATAAAACGTGCCGAAATGGCGAGGATGAGGACTGTTATGCAACCAGCGAAGAAGAAAGCTTCAGCACTTCATTTAAAAGAAAAAACACGTGAAAGAAACTTAAAAGAATTAAGACAACAAATGTATTGATGTTGTGGGTTCCACTAAACAAACAGCCACTTGTAGTAGAGAAGTTAGATTTAACCTTTTGATAAATAAAGTCGTGGTAGGCTAGCTGTGTTTTAACTCACCTGTTGTTGTGAATGAGGTAGTTGAATAAGTAGCAGATGGGGATGGACATCAAGGAGAGCACAAACACCCCTGTCCCTGCAGACACGTTCATCGCGGACAAGTTTGGAGTAGTTTGTAAGAGGATAGAGAAGTACAAAAAAAATAATAATCATATGATAATCTCCATGTTTAGTGATGAGTGATATTATAATGGCCGAGGAGAAAAGTCACCGTGTCACACTGCTGTCGCTACATGAATACTCTCCATGCTCTGCCTTGGTTATCTGGTCTTTCTCGAGCTCTCCTCTTCTATTGTAGCTTACCTCTTCTCTGCTACCTTCTGTCACTCACACACACACACACGAGCACACGCGCGCACACATAGCAGAAAGGAGAATAATTGTGTAGCCTATCTCATAAACTGTAAATAGGTATAGCCTATCTGCGTATACCAAATATATTCTATTTTGTTAAGTAGAACAATCCTAGTTTGTTTTTCCATTAATATGAATAGGCCCTTAGATTTAGTTTATAAACTAAATCTAAGGGCCTATTCATATCAATGTTCATTAATGTATACAACATATAAATGGTCCTCAGATGTGGTCCCGCGACCCTGCCATCTAGCGGTGGATTGCAAAACTTGAAACAGACAGCAGACTTCTTTTTAATTTAATAAGTGAATAATAATACCCAGTATAGAAGGCAATGCTGTCTATACCAAAAAAAAAAAAATCAATTCAATTAATTTTATAAAATTAATAGCATTATGCTGCATTTTAATAAATCCAATAAAATTAGAATTGAAAACAAAGAAATACGATTATTTGTACGTTTTTTTCTCCTGTTTAAAAATAAATGATCACTGTTATTTATTATTTATGGAAGCCCATTTCCGTCAGTAAAAAAAAAAAAATGAAAACAATAAAGTCTCATAATTTCAATTTTTTATCTCATTATTTTGACTTTTTATCTCATTATTTTGACTTATCTTATTTTATGACTATATCACATAATTTTGACTTTTTATCTCATTATTATGACTTTATATCTAGTAATTTCGACATTTATTCTGACTTTATTATTTTCATTTTCATTTGTTTTAACTGGTGGAAATGGGCTTCCATAATTACTCGTTATTCTGAGAATCAATAGCGTTTATATTGTTCTTTGTTCTTGCTTTGCCGTTAGCCGTTCATCAATAAAGTTTAATGGCGAAAAAAAGAAAGAAAGTGTGTTAAGAGGTTTGTGCGCATGCGTGAATCTTAGTAAGCTAGCAAGAAGCTAGCTGCACATCAAAGAGAGATGGCGTCTACAGCGATGGATACCACGTAAATAAATAAATTCACGTTAAGGTGCGGTCGGTGCATATTGACGCGTCGATAACGGTCCTTAAATACGCGGAAGACAAAATAGAAGGGTGTTGTTATGGCGACCGGGAGCGGCGGGAGTGTCGGCGGCGGCTTGGCGTCAAACCATGACGGTCAGGAGGCAGCGTCCAACTCGGCTCAGTGTGGAGCCGCAGCTGGGCTCTCCAACGTGCCAGCCTCCGGCCCTGCCCGGTCCGCCTCCCCGCCCGTCCTCGGCCTTCACCGGGAGCCCATGTACAACTGGCAGGCGACGAAGAGCTCTCTGAAGGAGCGCTTCGCCTTCCTCTTCAACAACGAGCTGCTCAGCGACGTCAGGTTCATCGTCGGGAAGGGCAGACAGGCCCAGAGGATACCGGCCCATAAATTCGTCCTGGCCGCGGGCAGCGCCGTGTTTGATGCCATGTTTAACGGAGGCATGGCCACGACGTCGACTGAAATCGAGCTGCCTGATGTGGAGCCTGCAGCCTTCCTCGCCCTGCTCAGGTAAGGACAGCAGTTAAGAGAACTACAAGTTATCAGACATGTCTCCAGTCTCTATTTAATGTGGTTATTAATCATGCATTGCACTTCATATATAAATTATCATCTGTTAAATGATTATTTAACACGCAACCATTGCAGACAGTCCCAGGCTCAGTGGCAGCAGCAGCAGCTAAAAAAAAATGTGCACAGTGGACCCGAAACAAAGAGTTGATTTATGGGTTAGTCATTCTTCAACAACAACAAAAACACAAGTCTGGGACTGCAATTTATAATCAACTTATTTTCAAAGTCGAGCTTATCTGACAAATATTCTCTGAATTTAGCTTCGAAATTGTTAAGAGGATTTACTATTTTCTTGTGACAGTGATTGTGTGTGTTGGTTTTATGAAACAAGCTTATTAAAACATTCATCTAAAGGTACTCTTACAGCATTTTCCCCAATACTCAGTGAGTATTCCCAGAAGCAGACCAAACTATAAACAGTTTAAAAATAATATATTGTCAGATACATCAATCGTATTTGCTGTGGACTTGTGATCAAGCGCTCAGACCTATTAGAATGGTCTTGGAATTTGCAATATTATGGGAACACCTTGATTAGTGAGGCCAAACCTTTATAGTGTAATGTATGACAGATTTATTTTATTTATGAAAACATGTTACTGTCTAGTATTCAAGATACTCTGTAGGCTTGTTCTCAGTGAACAGGAGAAGCTGGTCTTTTGGGTACATGCTGCAGAGCTTAACCCAAAGTCTCTGTACACCTTACAGTCGGGTACATTAGATAAAAGTAGGCAGGTTTACAAGTCTCCCTAAGGAAGAAAAAAAAACACACTTTGCATGACTAACTGATTTTACCTCTGTACAGGTTCCTTTATTCTGATGAGGTCCACATTGGTCCGGAGACTGTGATGACCACTTTGTATACGGCGAAGAAGTATGCCGTCCCCGCTCTGGAGAGTCACTGTGTGGAGTTCCTAACCAAGCATCTCAGAGCCGACAATGCATTCATGCTCCTCACTCAGGTTATTATCCCTCACATCTACTATTTCGTACACTCACTTGACACGTTCACAGCACCTGTGGGTTACCAACTTGATGGTGTATTGCTCTCAACAAAGTTAGAGAAAACAGCATTTACGTGATCTTGTTTCTACCAAAAATAAAGTCCCTATGAAAACTGTAAAAAATGTTTTTTTTTGCTGATTATTAAGAGACAGTCAGATCTGTCTTTATTGGTAAGCTCACATTCCTTTATTGATGTTTTTAATTGGATGCTTATAGCACCCAAAATTATATACCATTTAACCTCATATGTTTCATGAATTTATATCAAAGTCTCATCTCAGACCAATAAAAGGCATAGCTTGGCAAGAAACGAGGATAAAGTGAGAAATACATTCACAGTATTACCCCTCTTAAGACATAAAGCACCAACATGGTGAAGCAGGGCAGCAATAGATGGTTTCAATAACAGCTTGATGTGATTTGTAAGGGTCTTCTCTGGGGCAGTGTTTGAAATAATCTAATAAGAATTCTGCATCGCTTATTTATCTGCTGGAAACTATCAGACTGCTTAGACAGTGGGGGAGGAAGCCATTTTTTTATTTTTTACTGTGTCGACACCAAACTGTCATCCAAGCATCGATAGTTGAGTTCACATGACATCCTCTGTTCTATTTTTGGATTGTGCTGCTGTTTGTTTGATATCAGCTTTTTTTTTGTGTTCCACTGCTGGCTGAAACATCAGGCTGCTGCTTGTACAGCAGCTCTCTGATCAAAACTCCCTTTTCAATCCATTGCTGCCAAAGAAAGAGAAGCTTTCTATAAAGCAGCCCAGAGAAAACAAAAGTAACACGCCTAGCTGTGTACTCTTAATTAACTGTGTCGTTGATTTTTCTACTAGTACTTTTATTTATTTGTTTACATTTGATGACTTTTAAAGGACAATTTTCCACAGCTTTTTGTCATTACTGTTTTCTTAATTGAATACTCTTAAATGTAGGATTTCTAATATCAGACCATGTTGGATTAGAAGATATGGACAGATCTATTTTGAGAGTTGCATCAAAAAAAGTGATTGGTCTAACATTAAGCTATTTTCTTTTGTTCCATATCATATAAATGACATTTATAAGATGCTAATGATGCTTTTTTTTTAATGCTTTCATCAAGGCAAGGTTATTCGATGAGCCTCAACTTGCCAGTCTCTGCCTGGACACCATAGACAAAAGCACTGCAGATGCAATAAACGCAGAGGGCTTTACAGATATTGACCTCGGTATGTGAGTCATTAACCTGATTTTTGAAGTTTGTTTTATTGTGGATGAATGAAAATGTAACCACTGTGTTTTTATGTGCAGACACCTTATGTGCAGTGCTACAAAGAGATACACTCAGCATCAGGGAGAACCGTCTGTTCGGGGCGGTGGTACGATGGGCAGAGGCCGAGTGTTACAGACAACAGCTTCCCCCGACCTCGGAGAACAAACAGAAGGTTCTGGGCAAAGCCCTCCCGCTCATCCGCTTCCCGCTCATGACTGTTGAGGAGTTTGCTGCAGGTAAGCATAGCATGAAAAAGGCTTAATCCTGTAATGGTACGCCTTTTTTCAACACTACATTAACCATTTCAGCCATTACTAAACATATTCGTCATGTTCCTGATGTTTCCATACAACTCGAACCACAGAAACCAGCTTGATATTCTCTCTTGTGCCACAGGGCCTGCCCAGTCTGGAATATTGTTCGATCGGGACGTGGTAAATCTGTTTTTACACTTTACAGTAAACCCCAAACCACGGGTCGACTACATTGACAGGCCCCGCTGCTGCCTCAGGGGGGAGGAGTGCAGCATTAATAGATTCCAGCAGGTTGAGAGTCGATGGGGGTACAGTGGTACCAGCGACAGAATCAGGTATGACCACTAACATCACTGGTTCATTGTTAATCTGAAAAGACAAAACGATTGGAATTGTATTTAAACGTCTTTTCTCTCTTTCTTATTGTGTTTCTACCTCTGTAGATTCAATGTTAACAAAAGAATATCCATTGTGGGTTTCGGCTTATATGGTTCAATACATGGACCCACTGACTATCAGGTCAACATACAGGTGAGTTCTGTCAGTAAGAAGTCAAAATGGTGATGGAGAAACTTAGACTGCCAATAATATTTGTGTTTTTCTCATTGATTTGAGTGGAATATTTTTTATTCAGAACAGATACTCACACTTGTTTCAAACAAACATTTAGAATAATCTGTTTTCTTTTATTTCAGATACCTTTTAAGCATTTAGATATTTTGTTTGATGGGGACGATTCAATTGAACACAGTTCCACTGCAGAGCATGAACTTAAAGAATAGCACAGCATTTATAACTTTTGCTAATTTGTAGCTTTTGTTCCTTGTTGGGCTTTTACATGTACAGTGTAATAAATATACAGTTTTAAGAAACATAAAACAACATAACACTACAGATATAAAATATACCACAAAGGAATGTAACAGAAAAAGACATCGTCTTAAGCAGCCTGTCTGGTAATTTGCATTCATTACTTTTAAATGAAAAGTGTAAAATGTCTTTAAGGATTAAAATGATTGACATTTGTATCAGTGAAGTATCTAGATGTTTTGGGGATCTAAAGCATAGCCCATGTAGTCACATCTCCACTGTGCTACAGTGTGAGATCACTATAGTGAGTAGGATATTGTCAACACAAAAAAATTACATAGAGGATAATTTTTGGCACAGCCAATCCTTCCAGTTACTTTCCACAAAAACAGAACACCAAACAGAAGAACTGAGAGTCCCAAGCACCTCAGTTAAAGTTTGTATTGAGTAGTTCTTCCTCTGCCCCTTGTTATTCAACCATTAAAGACTTTATCCTGTTCTGTAGATCTTAGAGAGCGACAAACGCATCACCCTGGGTCAGAATGACACAGGCTTCAGCTGCGACGGCACAGCGAGCACTTTCAGAGTGATGTTCAAGGAGCCTGTTGAGATCCTACCAAG